CTAAAAAGCAGAATCATGCCGTTTTTTTGTTGTCGTTCCGGGTAGTTGTCAAATCACTGCATATACGTCACGATCGAGTCAAGGCTGTTATTATTCTGACTTTAGACCTCACAATGGACACTCAATTTTTGACCTTCCCATTGTGCAAGATATTTTTTTACAGAGGTTTTTTTTGTGTTAAACAGTATTATTGACTCCTTTATAAAAAAAATGTGTCCTAATTAATTTGGCCCGCTAAAAACCTAAATAATATACTTTTGGCGAATGCAATTTGTATCTGGCTCGAGCATGAGACTGCATCAGGCGATTTGAGGGTTTTGTTTTCAAATTCTTAATTACTACCTCTCAAAAGTCGCCAAGTATAGTTTAACTCTTGTCCAAAGAATCTGTCAATCCATGTTTCTATGTTGTCTATTTGCAATTTTCTCTCTTTCTTTCTTCTCCCTGTCGATCTGTGTGTCTATCTATCTTTTTATCTATCAATCTATCTATCAATATATTTATATAATTATACATGTAATTATATCCTTCTCCCTCTTTCTCTATCTATCTATCTATCTATCTATTCATATATCTCTATATCTCACTTTCTCTTTATCTATGTGTGTGTTCTCTTTATCCATAGTCTAGTACAAACTGAAACATAATTATGTTATGATTTGGTGAATGAACATTATGTACAACACAGTTTATTGTTCATGATTTTAAAATGTATGTGACTAAAATATATCACGATTACATAATTAGGAAAATATTACTGCACTTCACAGTTATTTAATCCCAAAACCTAGAACAAGCATTGCTTTTTTCAGAATATAAATGAATACTTAAAAAAAAAAATGAGTTTCATATTTCTCAACATATTATAATACAGAATTGAAGTTAGGAGTTATTTTATTAAAGCACACAATCTATCTATCTATCTATCTATCTATCTATCGATCGATCGGTTAGTCTGTACCTCTTTTTGTTTGTAATATGTCTGTCTGTCTGACTGTATATCTGTCCATAATAATACAAGCGCTTATTATTTTCATCTGTGTAAGAATACATCAATTTTTGTTTTTGTTTTTACCTGCGAACATGGTAAATCATATCAGTGTATAATTACAATGATTCAAAATTCAATAGTGGGTGTGTCAGGGGGCCCGTCTATGACCTGCATGCATCCTTCTGTCAAAACAGAAATCTGCTTCCAGACAAGCATTTGACAGAATCAGTTCGACCCGCTTGAAGACTGAACAACAATAGGGACTTTTAGATTTGCGTGGACTGATACTTGTGACGTCCATTCAAGGCAGTGCATTAAAAGGACGTCGACCGTAGCAATCCACATTTTCTTCTTGCAAATCTAAAAGTCCCTAATACGAAAATACTTCGCCCTAACGAACAATGAATTCTTTATGTACCAGTATTATTCAGGCTGTCTATCTATCTCTATCTCTATCTAGCTAGCCAGATTATTATCTCCTATAAAATGGCCCTTTTCATTACTTTTCCTCGAATTTTCGGTTACATAATTTTAAGACGGGTATAATGCATTATGTTGGCTTCTACATGCTGTAAGATCACTGTAGTGTATACAGAAAACATTTTACAAAAGAACCTTGTTGTATTCCATGGTAAATGTGTCTTGGTTTAAATATGGTTTGATTTGGGTCGATTTTTTGTTTAACCTGATTGCTAAAAAAACAATGCGTATGCGTGTAAGTATAACAACCAGATAGTGGACCAACGGCTTTAAGTCCTCTCGGATGAACTCGGTAATGACGATTAATGCCTTACCAAAAGGGCACTTATCGCATCTACTTGGTTTGGAATCTAGGACCTCCCAGTTACGAGACCACTGCTCTATACTTCTGAGCCATCGCGTCTCTCACCTGTGTAGAAGACATCAATCTATACATGTTTTTGTATATATATCTGTGAACATGCATAATTATATCAGCCTATGTAATGATGTTACTTCATTCTCCACTATACAATGTTTCCAAAATGATGAGGTATTATTACATTTCGGTTTATCGATGTCATCCCAAACACTATACGTATTGCAGAATACATATATATATTGCATTGTCATTGTAAGCCCAAAACCACTACCATATTTGCAGTCTGAAAGTTAACAATATACTTCAATAGTGTTTTAATTGGAATGATTACGCGGTATGTATCACATGACTGGCTATGAATAGGGTGAATAATGGAAGGAAACTAACAAGAGGAAATAACAACCAGTGTTGAGTATTGATACCAGCCACTGCGTGTTACATCCCTTATATGGCCATTGTGTATATTTGAGAACAGGATATACGAATGTATAATTGAAATAGATGAGTTAAAAAATCAGGGTCGCTAAAAGTCAATGATTTAAATTGATTGATGAAATTGAAAATAAAACCTTTTTAGGAATATATGCTGACCTCTCGTTGATGTTCGACTTGACCTATACCTGTTATATCCGTGCACGTGTAGACCATTATTGACCAAAGAGTGAATTAACTATCTACTGTGAAGGCTTACTCGTTTTCTTGTTAACAAATTAGGAAAACATTAGTATGCCCGGTATAGATGCATCTTGAAATTTTGTGAAACCTTATTTATACATCGTGGGGCAGTTATGAGCCAGCAAATATACAACGTAAAAGGGAAAAGAGCCCCTATGTAATGACCATCACCTCTTAGTGCCCGGACCGTTATGAGCCAGCAAATATACAACGTAAAAGGGAAAAGGGCCCCTATGTAATGACCATCACCTCGGGGTGCCCAGACCACAAATCCTTCAAATATTAACCCGGTTATCATAATGAGGCAGCTAATAATATATGATTGAATGTTCGATTCGATTTGACCATTATCACTTAACGATGGCTTTTATTATGATTACAATATGGAGGGAAGAGAATTAAAAAGTCATTCTAACAATAATTAGAGTGATGACATTATAATATATTAACTCCTACCCCATATTCAAAATGCCCCATCCATTGATTCATTCATAACCCTTCTCAAAACCCACCTTTTTAATCAGTTATAGTATACTGGAGGCGCACACATTAAGTAGATAATTCCATTCAACTCAATTGTATTGTATTGTATTGTATTGTATTGTATTAGTAATATTTTATTTTATGTTGTTGCTTTTAAGCTATTGAACATGTTGAATAATTATACTTATTCAGACAGTACCACCTGTGTGCTTAGAAACGTCTGTATAAAGCGTCCTATAAATGTAATTATTATTATTATTATTACCCGCATTACTTGGTATGGTATGGTATGGTATGGTATTTATTGAAACATGTATCGCAGTTACATATACTGAATTGCACATGGATATACATTGCATTTAACAAAATTTAAAACAGTATAATTTACATAATTATAAGTACACGTATTACGTCACATAAAGGAAAGAGGTTAAAAAGGGAAAGGGAGAGAGAGAGAGAGAGAGAGTGAGAGATAGAGGAGAGAGGGGGAGGAGGAGAGAGGGAAGGAAAGTAAGAAAAATAGAAAGAAAAGATAAGAGACCGAGAGATAAAGTGAAGAAAGAGAAAGAGCAGGAAAGATAGAAAGATGGAGAAAGAGAGAAAAAGAGAGAGAGAGAGAGGAAGGAGAGAAAGAGGTGAAGAAGAGAGAAAGAGAAAGAGAAAGAGGAAGAAGTAAAAGAGAGAGAGAGAGAGAGAGAGCGGCAAGAGGTAAAGAAGGAGGAGGAGAGAAGGGGAACTTGCCAACAATTAAAAATTACATACAAATTGACGATAAAAAGATAAAAGTATGCATTGCAACACTGACATGACGAATAGTACTAATAAGAAGAACAAAAAAACTTGGGCATCTATGCATGGGCGACCAAAATGCAATGTGCAAGGAAACAGAATTCCGGGAACAAGTATGCCCACTTAACCTGTTGACTCCTGAATTTATTCATTGCCATATAGGATTAATAAAGGGACCACCAGGTTCAAGTAGACAAGGGTTAACTACATCCATCTTCGCATGCTCTGACAACTACAGAGAGTATTATGACTATGAGTAAAGTTGCCTGGATATAAGTTGTAAAAGGGTAAATATTCCTAGTAGTTTACCTTGATAATATAGGGAGCAGTTTTTCGGGGGCAGTTGGTCTGGGGTCATAATCATGAATAACGCTATATAAGAATGTGAATATCATTATGAAACCGGGAAGGCATACATTATATACATGAGAAAATATAAAACTTGTAAAGAACTGCTTTATCAGAATAACTTTTTAATGACGATTTCATTTTATAGAGAATAATCATGATGTTATCATTCTTATGCGCGATTATGCGACCTATCAAATATTTTGTTAAACCATTCTAATTTAAAGCAGTTTGGCATATCGTGATATATTTCACAACAATGAATTAAAAGGGATGTGATATTTTTTATATTCGGATAAAAAATTACCTTGCTTGTTAGCCACCGAGTATTTTAGTACGTGATGAAAAATGTACACATAGTTTAAATACGTTATTACAGAAAAACCATAGCGGTGTGATAAAAGTGATCAAAAGCGAAATTCTCTGCAATTACACTACAGCAAAATGTTCGTGTAATGAAGGGAATACGAAACAGATTGGAAAATAAAATGCGATGGGCGTATAAAATGAGCAGTATAATATGCCTGTGATTATCATAAGTCAACCAGGGATGATATCAAGAATCTAACATAGCAAAACAATCGTGAAACTGATTATCATTGATCATGACAATAAAAATTAACAAGGTTCGTAAAAGTCTTCATCGTTTTGCAGAGAAGGTGAAAACTAAAAATAGAATGGGTCAGATTTCCCCTATCCTCCCCGGCGAGTCAGTGAAAACCGGTTACAAATACGTAGTTTGACTCCCACAACATTCTCGAACGATTCCCATCAAGCCCGACTACGATTCGACGAATCTCGCATGACGTCATGAATCGGGAATCGTGAATGGATTTCCGCAATTCCAATATAAGCGACACCGGCGCACGAAAAACACAACACATGTAGAGGAGATTCGAGTAATATAGGAATTGGGTTTGTTCCAGGTGATGTTTAAGTTGGTTCAACGTTTTGGGGACAACTGAAGCAAAGTCACAGGAGCATTTTTAATCGACCATCGAATCTTTATCTCGTAAAGAACACCAGGGGAAAGTGGTACCAAGGCTCCTGTGGTATAGACTCCCGTTGCAAGTCAGGGATTCAAATCTCATCACAAAATGGCAGAAGCAACCAAAGGACCAGTGGTTGTGGACATCGTACATGACGGGGAGGACCATACAGAATAGTAAGTGATTGACGAGTGATTTTTTTAAAAACATTTTGCAACACTTTATCCCATTCCTTAAAGATGTATATATCACAGTTAGTATAATTTATACAAGCAAAAGTTGCAGAATGGATATGAACATAAAATGGGACTCAACGGATTCTATCCATCGCAAGTCAATGATTTGTTAAAATCAACTTCTATCCAGAGTACTCTTTTGGTTAAGATTCCCGAATAATGTTTGACCCCCCCCCCCCAAAAAAAAGGTTGCACTATATGGTAGTTTGATAAGGCTTCGGTAGGACTGTACCGACAGGTAATAGATGCGTATACGAGGATATATAGGGAATATGATTATACATTAATCATAACACATATTGTGGTATATAATAGTTTTTACTCATGCAGAGAAATGATCTTACTCATTGCATGTCTGCGTAGTGAATATGTAAATAGGAGCAAAATAGTACTGAGAATAACTAAATTCTTGTTGAAGTTTTTACGGCGCATATTTGTGACAAAATTAGGCATGTAATTATGGAGGCTGTACATTTCATTTCCGTGAAATTGTATGACTATGTTTCGTTTTCATGCGAAGAAATGATTTGCACTTTTCTGTAGCAGACTATGAAAATCAGCTGTTGTACGAGCTATCGTACGAGCAACGCCAACACCCACAAAATTGACCAATACGATGGCTTGTCCCTGCTACATCTGCATATCAACCAAATGTCACGACTGTGATTTTAAAGAAAAGAGGTTGATAGAGAGAGAGGTAGAGAATAACAATAAAAAGTCGTTGAAGAGGAGCGAAATTATGTAGGTGCGTCATTTCAACTCGCGCCACGTAAATACTACGGCATGCGATGTTTATACCGGCATATGCAAATGAGGGGACAGAGCCCACACTCAACAGCCAATCATCGGCCGATTTGCGGTCACACCTTCCAATTCATTCCCTCGTTCCCTAAACGTTTCAAGTAGATTATTTACACGATCAAAACAACGGTTTCTATGTATAAAACGTACGGACTATATAATGAAAAAAACATTTGTTCAATTATTGAATATCAAACCAACGCATATAACTATAAGAATTATTCTGATACATAAAATTATGCGAGTAATTCTGGGAGGAAATATGGAAGAGAGTGGAAAAATCCACGAGCCTTTTCCAGTCACAACCAGCTGACTTGTGACGTCACACTGACAGGATTGACGCGCGGATATGCACGTACACGTACGTATTAGAAATCCCATTCTCTTTGCACATATATTTTTCCATGCAGCTAGCTAGCTAGCCAGGGCGCGCTTTCTCACTCGGCTACATGGCGTCAAAGACAGACCGTAGATAGTTCTGTTCTCCGCTCCAAAACCGAAGGAAACCTTCCACAAAATGACATCTTTATGTCGACAGTTACTCCGGTAAGGAAATCGTTGTTTATAGTTTTCTTACGTACATTTCATCTCTATTTCCTTTTATTTTCAGGGGTAAAAATTTGTAGGAAAACTTCTCTTTTATTTGAGTTGCGAGCCGGGGTTGCCGTAGACCGAATTTTCCGTCTCTTTCGTTCGTTAGCCTCTTATTGGGGTAGGGTCGGCTCTCTCTTTAGAGACGGAAGCCGTTTATACACATGTCCTTGCTAACGCCACGGCCAGTTCTGGTCGTAGCGTTTTGCCCCCAAAATCCCCCAAAATGTCATTTTACCTCGAGCATGTTATATTGTAAATTAGGCCTAGGCTATAATAAATCAGTTCCACTTACCAACTTGACTGAAATAATCAGTTTAATAGTCCCTTTTTAGGAAATTATGGGTCAAAATCGGAATCCATGTTGAAAAAGATTTTCAAAATGGATTTCGATTTTGACCCATAATTTCCTAAAAAGGGACTATTAAACTGATTATTTCAGTCAAGTTGGTAAGTGGAACTGATTTATTATAGCCTAGGCCTAATTTACAATATAACATGCTCGAGGTAAAATGACATTTTGGGGGATTTTGGGGGCAAAACGCTACGACCAGGACTGGCCGTGGCGTTAGCAAGGACATGTGTATAAACGGCTTCCGTCTCTAAAGAGAGAGCCGACCCTACCCCAATAAGAGGCTAACGAACGAAAGAGACGGAAAATTCGGTCTAGGGTTGCCGGTTGCGAGCTGCGACGTTTGCACATGTATGCATCCGAGTTCGAGATCCACGTCCTTCATGCTCATGGTGCAGCTTGACTTTCTGATGTCCTTCAGTGAAAATCGAGTCTTCCATGTTTTCAGTTTTGTAATTAATTGTATTGCGGTTCTACTACTTGTATTGTGTCTATGCTGTTCTGTTGTCCATACTCTCTGCTTTCCAATTTTAAATGATATTGTCTTGATGATTTCAGGGAAATAATGTATTAGTTTTATCATATTCTGCACTCATTGTAATTTTGCAATGGAAATTGAGGAATGACATGATCAGGATGATTGTAAAAAACCCTAGCTTCTTGCATTTTACTTTGGTAGACCGAAAATCAATCTGTTATAGACTTTATCCCTTAAGTTCCTAACCTATGGAGAAGAGCGTAAAAAGACAAACCAGGCACTTCTTGACTAAATCAGCATCAGCTACTTGTCCACTACATCACATGTTTCACAAAGCCCTCTTTGCCAAGATCAATGACAACATCCTGACTAAGTAGACTAGTTATGACTCCTCCGCCACCTTCATATCTCTGTCATAACTTTTTAGTCGATGGGCAGCGCCATCACATGTCATTTATTTGGTAGACTATGGCTGGCAAAAAAGGACAAGAAATCCTTCAGTTGATCTTTCTCACCTTCACTTTAACAGGGAGTGATCGTTTTTTTATATTTGAAAATATTTTGAATATAGGTCTATGCCATGTTTATATCGAAGGATTTTTCCATCTCTAAAACTACCAGTTTAAATGATCTAAGTTTTCATATCTTGTTTGAAATACTGTAAAAATACGTACATGTACATGTACAAAATTTTATGTCAAGCTGTGCATTTGTTTAAGGCCACATAAAATATTTGAAAAAAAACTGATCAGGAAACTAGGAATCAGATTTATATGGCCTAATGCTTCATGTAATGTGTGTACTTTTTGCGTTTTTAGGGCTCTGTGGAGTTGGGGGAGGATGTTTCAAATCGATGTAAAAATTTGATCTCATGGGACTTTCTCAAAACATATACCCATGATAATGTAGGTTTCCTAGTATCTAATTAAGCTGGAATTCATATTCCAGTAACAACAACAAAAAATATAGTTCAAAAGAAATTTAGTATGTACATGTTAAAGAGTCTGATTAGGAAAATGTTTGTGACTGTGAGTTAGGAATGAGGTTCACCACCCAAATGCTACAAAGATTTAAAGCCAACATTGGTTTTTTTTTAGGTTTGTTAAAAAGTGTGGTGTATCAAAAGAATTGAAGTCCCAGGTCTTAAGTTTTCCTTTTGATAAATGTGATTTTAGAACCAGGGTCGGGTTCAACTGCGTAAATAGAATACGGACCATAGGGTACATGTAGTACCAGCACATACCTATACACTCTGTACAATACAGGTACTTGTGTTGTCAGAATTCATTGTGACACTTGGTCCAGGTTTATTGCCTACAATACAATGTACATGACAGTAACTACGTATATAGGCCTACTGTAGATAGAGTCAATTGATTGCGGCAATCTGATGATATGAAAGGCTACATGTATGTTGACAGAAGTACTTATCACAGAGCTACCTTGGTCCAATAGCTCTTAAGCTTGAACTATGGCCAGCTAGGTACCAATGTGCTAGTCTGGAAGGTAGAAAACTGAATGCAAAGTGCAAGAGAATAAATGAGATTAATATGGTCTAACATTCACTATTCCAAAAATGTGTGAACAAGCTCTTGGCCAAGATCTAAACATTTGGGTGTCAAAATTGAAAAACAGAGTGTGAAAACAAAGTGACATCCATGCAATGATGTGGATTTTTTTTTTATAGGGTCTCTAGTTAAGGGTGTCTCCCCCAAGAAAGGGGCGTCTTTTGGATGCTTGTACCAACAATCTCTTAGCTGAAAGTGTGATAGTGAAAGATGTTTTCATAGGCAGTAAAGTTAAGTTCTGTCTTGATTATAGGCTGGCAATCTTTTCTGTCATCGCTCTGCCCTGAGAAGCATTTGTTCCATAGCTTGGATCCAACCCCAAGCTATGGAAACCTATCATGCCCAAACAATGAGAGACCTACAATGAATGTATCGAGGGACTACATTTCATATGCTTCAATGCATCCTGTCACGTCCCAGTGCATTTTAAGTACCTTGTGGAACCTCTATTTATTTCTTGATTCAATATAGCCTTATCAGAGACAAACATAAATTTGATAAAAACAAGTTCGTGCTTTCTATGCTAATATTTTTTTAATAAGCTGTAATTTTGTTTGCAAATTATTCACCCAGACCTTGTTTAAAGGTAATACATTGACATTTTTTGTTTGTTGGGTGGGTGGGAGGGGGGGGGGGTGCAGGGTTAGGACAAGATAACACAATTACAATGAAGTGGCTCTCTACCCACCAGCTTTTCAACCTGTCTTCCCACCTCTTAGAATGGATTAAATGCCCTATTGAGTAAATAAGTTCAATCTTGAGAATTAGTCTGACACTCTTTGACACTTGACCTATATAGGGATATTATAGAAATATGGGAATTTTTAATTACATACCGGTACATATAATCATATTATTACTTTTTACTCATGTAAATATTTACTATGTAGCCTTTTTAATGTTGATCCAACCAAAGTTTGCACTGCGACCTTTAAAATGTTATTTTATCAGCGGAAACTAGATTAACCTACATGTATCTCCTATCTATATGTTCATGTACTCTACTTTAAATCAAGATAGATTATTCACATTAAAGTTCATTGAGATCTGCTCTTATTTCAGTTAGCCTTATTTATTTGTTGATTGATAATAGTATCGTCCGGTGCCCTCTTGCCCTCTTTATCACAATGGCATTCAACAACCAAATGTGGATAGTTCTTTTCTTTTTATCTAGATCTGCATCCTCTTAAAAAAAAGAAATAGAAAACAAATCGGTCAAGGACTAGCCTTCAAATGGACTGTACTTACACCTGCATGTAATATAGGTCTACATTGGACATATAGATTATCTTCCTTCTATATGGGCCAAAACAATTGTTTGTTGTTGAAGAGATTATATAGAGTGGTATTGCAAAGTTCAAATAATATATGATAAATAATTTCTTTCCAGACTCCTGCTATGCATTTACTCCAATCACAATAATGTCCAACTTTTGCTCATGCTGAAATCAAGGGGTAGGGCATGGAAGGGGTGTACAGGGTCATCGCAAAGGTCAGCAGGAGTGTCTACCGGTATACCACAAGGACTATGTCAGTATGGATAATGCATTGTGATATGAAAGGTCAACCTGATATCAACTAGATTAGAAGATGTAGGACATAATCAATGACTTCCTCTTTTCCTAGCATGAGTTTATTCATCGTATGAACATATGACTGACTGAGTCAGTGCTATACAATATCAAAATGATATTACTCACACAGGAGCAAATATCTTTTTGCGATGTTAATCTTTCTATATTTCACGTTTTTAGTCTTGACTGTGAAGTGCATTTCTATCCCTGTAATGTAATGTAGACCACAGTTACTTTGAATTACAGGATTTCTTGTCAAATTCTTGACGGCACATGTGAGATGTTGCATAAAAAATGTATTAGATATAAGAAAATCAATGCTAAAGGCTCTTCTAATACTTTTCTGCATACATGTAGACCAGCATCACATCGGTGACGTGACAAGAAAATCAAGCCGCAGTTTTGTTTTTGAGCACTCTCATTATCAAATGAAGAGCATTGCTATTAAAGCAGTATTCCAGGAAAACCTTGTGATCTGGAAGTGGAATGGAAACAGATATGAGCTCATATCCTGTATTGCGGGCACTAGGACAACCGAAAGTGTTGTTTTAGACACATTCTACACGTATGTTAATTGATCTACAATGTATGTGTACATATACATGTGTACATGCATGCAGCTATTTCTTTGACTGACAGGGAAACACCTTTTCAGATCATCCCCTGTTGAACTCTGTTATGCATTTCCTGGAATTCTTTAACAAACGTTGTACCTACATGTACCTGGGGAGTAGATGTGCTTATTTGCCATTTTTTGACAGATGTGAAGAACTGAAGGAAATTATAATGGAAAGCTCACTCCCTGGCAGTTATGAGACAAGGAATATTTGTTGGGGGTGTAGCAAATAATTTGAGAACGTAGTCGGGGTGAAAGAAAGTTCAGGGTTTGGGGGATGTATGTGCTTACTGTCAGGAAAAGTTTATTAAAGTGTTCAAGCCTAGTTCAATTATGATATCTAATAGCTTAAGAGTCTGTAGAGCCAGATTTGTATGAACTTGGATGACACTTCATCCTTTCCAATCTCAAAGATATGGGCTTGAATAAAGAATGGAAAATTCGATGGTGTAGACTGTAGAGAGTTGTCCTTTTATGGAATTGTCCTGTGATTTAATAGCACGTTAAATGATAATGATAACTGAAGTATCATTTTATTTCAGGGTAAAATTCATGACAATTTAATATTTCTGTCGTTCTATTTGTTTGGTAGCCACTTTTGATAACAAATATCTCTCTTTTCTTGTCTTCCAACTCCGCAGCTCGACGCATCATGCAGTCAAAGCGTTCAGTAAATGCAGCCTTCACACGTCGCCGTTCGCCAACCAGAAGGCGGCCGCAGCGGCCACGAAAATCTACAGTACACAGCTAGATGGACTCCAGTCTAGCATCAGACAGTACGTCCTAGAGAAGGCAGATATTTGCAGACCGGACAACATACACATATGTGACGGATCAGAAACAGAAAATGCCTCATTAATAGAAAAACTACAAAAGGATGGAATGATCACTCCCCTTAAGAAATATGATAACTGGTAAGGATTGATGTCATCTTCATTTTTCTTTGATCTTTGGTTTGGTACAGATATACTCTCGATACTCTGTAGTAATAATCAAGGAAATGTACACTAAAGTTTAAGCTTCTGGAATCCTTTCTGTATTTGTTTAGAGAGCCCACATAGATAATTTAGTATACCCCGGTAGAAACTTTATTAAATGAATACTTAATATGATTCATTCTTCGGGCTTTGTAACATGAATTTAATAATTGATTGCTGTATGTGTGTTCTAAAGACGAGCAATGTCAAATTGTGAATTTTTATTTTTTGGCATAGCAAGGGAAACAGAAGTCATTTCAGTTTCTTTAGAAATCTCCCATGTCAACATCATCATTCAAATGATCATGTCATATGTTGCCTAGAGATGAGGTTTGATAATTTAAAAGACCATTGGAAGTGTACATGAAGATATGTTTTATCAAAATTCACTGTACAAGAATGGAACATTATTTTATATTTACATTCATTTATCTCAAGATATGTTTAATAATTTGCATTTGCATGTACAGTCAAACCTGTCTACAGTGACTGCCCAAGGGAAACACAAAATGTGCTTGTTGTAGACAGGTGGTCACTAAAGCAGGTTTGACTGTACATATCTGAATTATATTGTATTGATCTGCTCTCTTTTTGTCTTTTACCATGTCCATATCAGCATTTAATCTTATTTTTGCCCCTTTTTCAGCTGGCTGGCCAGGACAGATCCCAAAGACGTTGCTAGGGTAGAGAGCAAGACTTTCATCTCCACTCCCGATAAACGAGACACGATACCCATCGTAGCTGACGGGGTCTCAGGGAAACTGGGCAACTGGATTGCCCCAGATGTGTTAGAGCAAGAGCTTGGGAGCAGGTTTCCAGGATGCATGACAGGTGTGTATATTTCTCCATTTTGAATTTAAATGTCAAAGGTCAATAATTGTTCATGTCTGGCTTCATAGGACAGGATTTTTTTAATCACTGTTCACTATAATTTGTGTCTATATTTGATTGATAAAGATATACAAATATTTAGCAAATATGGCAATTGAAGGAATGGAATAAAAATATTATAAAGCAATCAATACTATTTTGCCTACTGTAAGGTTTTCTGTCTCCATCTAAACATTTTATGATGTATGTGCATGTACAGTTTTATTCTACCTGACAATATTTCTATACCTCTAAAATCAAACCAAAAAAAAAGCCTGTCGTTTTAACTACTGTAAGGATTTTATCTTCCTGTCCTAGAATTTTATGGTATACGTGCATGTACATGTACAGCATTGCCAAGGAATTCTACCTGACAGTATTTCTTTATCTCTGTAATCAAATACAACTAGTGAATTATTGCACATTGTGTGAGATGGACTTTGGCTATACAATGTTATACAATGGTCTCTTAAACAGATCAGTAGATAAAAAAGAGATAGAGGAAAAAATATTTTGACATGCATGAAATTCAAATTATACTAACATGCACCAGCTCAGTCCAGCTGTATTTCTTTATTTTATCATGAAAAAATTATATTGAATTGTACTTGAGCTTGGATATTTTGTGTTTTCCATTTTATTAAACTCACATCAATTCAATTTTTATTTTTCACATTAGGAAGAATGTAAGCTTGGTTAGTTAGAAGTGATTCCATATATAGTTTATGGTGTATTATGTAAGCCTATAGTATAGATTCAATCTTAGAATGTAGGATACTGGTCAGATGGGGCAAAGTACATACACGTGTGTCAACAGTGAATTAGGATGGTTTGTGTGAAAATTGACAGCTGGACATCAACGTATAATACCCATACACCTCTACATAGGGACCTGGGTTTCCATTAAATCTCATTATATAAAATGGCCTGTAGGCTTATGGTGTTAGAAATTTTATACTTGCAAATGTGCTACATGTAGTAGTGTAGGGGGCAACCATGAATTGTTTTTTCCTGTCACTATACACAAGTCTTTCTCATTGTATATAGCTATTCTTTACAGTGGAGATGATAAGTAACAATGTTAGAATTTTTTTGGTTTTTTTTAAGATAAAAAATTGTTTTCAAAAAGTATTGAAGGGATGGTATAAGAGAAACGTCTGAAGAATTATTCTAAAAAGTTAAACATGCCATAAATTAGAGCTGTGAGAGAATGTGATTTATATGTAGCATGTGATTTAATTTAAATGTTGTTTCATATAAATTCATAATGAATTCATAGTGAACTGAAAGATCTTTGTACAATTGTATTACATGATAGAAGGTTGTTTAGTGCACAATCCAATCCATTAATTTTTGGGATGGAGAAAACATGCCTTTTCAGTCCCTCTGTGGTTTTATTATTTAACTACCCTCATAATAATTAAATCATAGCGAGGCGAAACATATTACATTAGGGCATGTGCTGAAAAGGCGTGATGTGAGATGTCATCAAGCGTGTATTGCTTGGATGTGTTGACTGACATGTGCATGAAGTTACTTAGTGTTCAAATAATTAACACAGCATTGTGGAATCGGCTGGTATTCTAATCATTTTGAATCTTTGGACCTTCCTTCCCATGGAAAAAAACCTCGCATGATTGCCTTTATTTTTTCTTCTCTTTTCATTATTTTTTTGTTTTTATGATTTGGGAAAAATGTTGGTGTACGTGTGCACGCAAATATGATTTGAAGTTGGCAAAAACAAGTTGTCACTGTCAGCTTTTGATAGACTTCTACTGCAGGTTCCAAAGTCTACTTAATAGTAACCTGTTCAATCCTTAACATGCTGAAAGTTCAAAGTTCAGTCTTCATCCATTTCTCTTACCAAAAATTGATGAGATATTGTATGTACCTGTATACATACCCATACTGTTATCTGCTTTATAACAAAGTTTGAAAAGCATGAGTTGCAAATATTTCCTCCACTAGTGACATATGGTTTTTATATTTTTATAAAGCACTGTACAGACAATATACAAAGTTATATTGTTCTTATTACATGTACATGTATCTGAGTGGCCTTGATGACGTACTTACCAATGCAAGTCTGTGTGTCATTCATAATTTATGTACATGTATTAAGTAGTTTGTCATGCATCTCTTTGACATTTCCTCTGGCAGGCAAGAAATAGATCATGTTGCATTTGATATCTGAAAACCTGTCATGTACATTGTGTACATGTACAATGCATACACAACACTTACTTAAATGTGTTTGGATTATGTAGGCATGCGATATTGAAAGTCATAATTCTAGGAGGAAATTTAGGAGAATCTCTTGGGGTTTTGGTTTTGGTCAATGTTTGCAATAAACATGGAAGTGATTTCATACGAATCTGGCTCTGATTCATATCCTTAACATTGCCTGCAGATGATTGATTTGTATGAACTTGTTTTATCTCCCACTGCAGGCTTCGAAAGTCCCTACAACATGACTTTTAGAAATATATTTTCCTTCAGTAAAGCACCATGGTCTAAATCTCCATAAATCCCTATTCCTGTGCAAAACTATGTACAATCTAAAGACATAACAACAATGAAAAAGTTCTAAATATCATTTATCAAACACACTGTTTTATACTGGACATCCTATTAACTCGTCTCCTCTCTCTCTCTCTCTCTTCTCTTTCAACCATTGCAGGTCGCACCATGTATGTAATCCCTTTCAGTATGGGTCCTATTGGATCCCCCCTGTCTAAGATCGGTATTCAGCTGACAGACTCGCCCTACGTGGTGGCTAGTATGAGGGTCATGACCAGGATGGGTAAAGAGGTCCTCGACACGCTCGGAGAAGGAGAGTTCGTCAAATGCCTCCATTCAGTCGGGCAGCCTATGCCATTGAAAGGTATGGTATTGATCAAAGCTTTTTCCATGTCGGTTATTTAAGATTGATTACATACAGGTGTATGGCTAAACAGGAGTCCTTCAATCCTGACATGCATTCCGAATTCTATCAGTATATTCAGTAGAAACTATAATTACCTTAAGGAAAAAAGAGACTTATTTGATAATACTGTGGCATGTTGAAAAATGGAGTTGATTTTTTTTCTTCATGATAACCTACACTTATAAAGTTTGTTGATGTATCAAACAAATTATATATAAAGCATAGTTAACTGAAATAACATTGTACAGTTTGTCTCATCCTGAATGAATGGCAAGGAAAACATTTCTGATTATAATTTTAATGTTTATTTAAGAGGAAGGTCATAGAATACCAGCACATGTACACTGTGTGCATAATATGTAAAACGGTGCTGTATGTTATCACCATAGTCATATAAGAATGAAAGATTTCAGACAGTCTTCTAATTGTTTAATCCTATCTTCATCTGCAGAGCCTCTGACAAACAACTGGCCTTGCAACCCCGAGAGGACGATCGTCTCCCACATACCCGATCGTAGGGAGATCTGTTCCTTCGGCAGCGGATATGGAGGAAACTCTCTTCTTGGGAAGAAGTGTTTTGCTCTGCGTATTGCATCCAGAATCGCTAAAGATGAGGGTTGGTTGGCTGAACACATGTTGGTGAGTTTCCTTTCTTGTTTTAGAAATCAGAGGACATCATCGTCTACATAATTATAAAGTGCATGTGTTGTGCTATTTGAGCTCTAATGAGTTATCTTTTCATGCTTTTTCTATCAATAAAATTGACTATTTAACATTGTGAGGAAACAGTGTATGAGGATAAATCGTTTTGGGTCCCTCTTTCTCTGATCCCTTCCTCAGAAACCCATGTGTTATAAGTGAAGCATTTTTATTTAATCTTTATAAAAAATGGTATTATATTCTTCAAATTAGAACCGGTGCAAGTCAAACCAACTAAAGAAAAATGTATTTGACGCAATCTTCTTGAAATGCTGATTGATTCAATACTTTTACTTTCTTCATTGAAATTGTGTCTGAATAAAGAATACATTTCTGATTGGAAAATTAGATAATACTGGTTATTGTTTAAACAATAATCCAACATCCATTGTGATTACCTGTATGTATCATTTATTTGTTTGTCTTGTAGATCCTTGGACTGACGAATCCCCAGGGTGAGAAGAAGTACATCGCTGCAGCCTTCCCTAGTGCATGTGGTAAGACCAATCTAGCCATGCTCAATCCTACCATCCCGGGCTGGAAGGCCGAGTGCGTCGGAGACGACATCGCCTGGATGAAGTTTGACAGCGAGGGCAGGCTCCGTGCCATCAACCCCGAAGCAGGGTTCTTTGGTGTCGCGCCGGGTACATCAAACTCAACGAATCCCAACGCAATGGCCACCATTGAGAGCAACACCATCTTCACAAATGTGGCTGAGACCAGCGATGGCAGGTTTTACTGGGAAGGCTTGGAAAAGGAGACGCCAGATGTAAGTTGATCTATATCACCAAACATATAGTTTTTTCTAAATTTTCTTTGTGATCAAGTCCTTCATGTTTCGCTAGGTGGCTATTACAATTCCTTGCCCTTTTTATTCTATGATTTTTCTGTAACAGAAAAGTGTAATCAAGATAATATCTTTACAGTTGAAGAATGTGATGTTTGAAATATCTGTATTTCTCATAATAAATTAAAAAGTTGTCAAAGTTGATAATGCAATGAATTTGTGTTCTTGTAGTGATGTCTTATTGATTTGAATGTTCTCCCAATTTTGTGTCTGAAAATGCATAAATAGTGTGCACAGTGTCATGCAAAAGCAATGTCCACATTTCATATTTTGACTTCTTGCAGAATGTCCTATATTGATAGGTTTCATGTAAATAATCACGTTCTTGTTTTCATCTCTAAACCTCAGAACGTAAGCATCAAGACGTGGCTCAACGAAGAGAACTGGACCAAGGACACAAAGACGTCTGACGGTAAGAAGGTCCTAGCTGCCCATGCTAACTCCAGGTTCTGTGCTCCAGCCAGCCAGTGCCCTGTCATGGACCCTGCCTGGGAAGACCCTGCTGGTGTACCCATCGATGCTATCATCTTCGGAGGAAGGAGACCAGAAGGTAAGACACGGAGGAGAGTAGAGTTGCTAATTTGATGATCATGTAGTGATTCAATATATGACGGTTCTTTGTGATAGGAAACATGATGGCTTAAATATATCAGCTCAAGTACATGTATGTGTAATCTGTTATCATTTTGTAAAATTTCATTAAAGAAGTCAAATTAATTTCACTTGTATTTAATATGATATAGAGGGTGGGGGGGGGGGGGGGGGGGACATCATGTCACCTCCTAGAAGCAGTAGACTCAGGGTTCCTGTTTATTTTATTGTTTTGCAAAGGATGTTTCCCAGCGCAGTCATTGAACTATGGTTCCTTTACTTAGATTGCAATGGATTAAGAAAACACAGTATTGTGTATCAAGTCGGCATGAAATGCTAGTTTCTTTGAATTGTATATATATATATATATATATATATATATATATATATGTAAATAATAATCACTATTTGTTGTTTCATTACTAGGTGTCCCCTTGGTTTATGAAGCCTTCAACTGGAATCACGGTGTATTCATCGGAGCTTCAATGAAATCAGAATCGACAGCTGCTGCAGAACACAAAGGTAAAAAGCAAAGGATCACTTCAAACTTGTCAGCGCTTTTATCAATCTTCTTTAACTTCACTGCTCAAGGAACGCCTCTTTATATATTTTTTTCAATGTTGCTGTATCCTGTACTGCTGTTGTCCAGGTAATGCCCCCAAGAAGTAACTTTCTATGGTGGTACAAATGGACACAAAGCATGTTCTGTTCCAATGATGGTAAAGGGGCAACAGACATTTTGATGCTAATATTTATAGATAATTTATGATTTTTGCGTCAGATCAAATCATGTACAGTTCATAGGAAATACAAAAAGATAATCGCAGATTACCATGATATATAAAAAATAGAGTGATGGTGCGTCTTTACTGCTTAATTGAGAGAATATCTGGATCTGATTATTACAGTTGATTATCATATGATCATATAATTTTGGCTTTTCTTCTTGCAGCTAAAGTAATGATGAACGACCCGTTTGCCATGAGGCCCTTCTTCGGCTACAACTTTGGTCACTACCTCGATCACTGGCTTCACTTCAACGACAGACCCAACCTCCACCTGCCTAAGGTCTTCCATGTCAACTGGTTCCGTAAGAACACAGCTGGTCAATTCATGTGGCCCGGGTTCGGTGAGAACACCAGGGTTCTGGACTGGATCTTCAGGCGTTGTGCCGGAGAGGTGAGTTTGTTGTGGATGCAGAGTTCTTACTGATCAAGGATTTAGAAAATAGCTGCTTCAGAAATGAAATGTGAGGGAACATCTTCAAGTTTGTGTTCCTTTCATACAATCTGCTGAGAGCAAGTTTGGAATTAACTAAGAGTTAAAACCCCATAGCACTATTTATAGCTACTTGCGCCCTTTATATTGCGAACAATGCATAATCGGTGCCTGTTGGTCTCCCATGATCCTCTTTTTCTTATGTAATTGAGAACTGATTTAATGAGATGGCCAAACTAGCACAGACAGGCTTTAATTGATTCAAAAATGAGATTTCCCTTTATAAGCATTCACTCATAACCGTCAACCTAATATATTTGCCATTTATTCTCTTTTCATCCAGGACATTGCGCAAGAATCTGCCATCGGTCTGGTGCCCAAACCCAACTCCATCAACCTTGAGGGACTCCAGGAGAAGGTGGACATGCAGGAGCTCTTCCATCTACCCAGGGAGTTCTGGGAGAAGGAGATCACTGACATCAGGAGCTACTTCAAGACCCAAGTGCCTCAAGATCTCCCTGCCGAGATCGAAGCCCAGCTCAGTCTCCTGGAGGAGCGAGTCAAGACACAGCTCTAAAGAGATTCCTCAGGGCACAACTGACCTCAAAGCCACACGTAGAGGACCTCAAAGAGCCTCTGTGGTACCCTGTGGCAGTTCTGGGACCCATTTCACAAAGCCTTTTTCAATGACAAATTATCAGTGACAAATCTGCTGTTAACCAATCAGAAGCAAGGATTTCAGTAGCTTATAACAAAAAAAAAGTCATTTGTCACTGATGACAAGTTTTGTGAAACGGGGCCCTGGTGATAGAGGAGTGTGATTCAGGCTATTTATTATTGAGACCAAGAGGAATATCTAATTAGGATGACCCAATAATGATAATCAGTGTCGGGGTCCTGAAGGGGGATATTCATAATATAGTAAATATGTTCAGTGATTACATGTAAAACCCAGATTCATGTTTGGTTGTTCATTTGGTGTTATTCGGATCATGTCAGATTCTGTTCTGATAAAAAAAAACACTAACTTTGTGAATGTTTAGCTGATTTACTTGGTGGGCAGTATCACTGGCTATGACGTGGACCTCTGTTTAAATTAATGATCTCTATACCTCCTAGCCTACAATGCATTTCTTTGACTTTATATCTTTTCCCTTTCTCTCTCTCTCTCTCTTTTATATTGTGAACATTTTTCCTCCCTTTATAAACCTTGCTGTACCTGGTACTTAAATTTTGTTGTGGTTCATGATTCAGCGCATCTCATTTTAAATTCTTACACCTCTCCCTACTATCCATTCCGTAGTGCTGTGAGTGTGCTTGTGTCTGCATACTGCTAAAGTATATCAAAGCATTCATTGTTATCGTCTGGACATATATGTACATTTTAATCAACATTGTAGATCATTGAATAAAGAGAAGGCAAAATGAACTTGAAGTTTGACTTCATGATGCCAAGAATTATATTTTGTCTGAAATAAAACAAAAGTGAATTTGATATGATAATGTTTTGTAAAATTTGATGCCCGACTAGAATAGGACATGTTTGCATTAATGCGAGAAATAGTTCTCGCAGCTTTTTAGTACAGATTATGACGATATTTTTATAATGAAGGTCAAGTATAATTTCATGTTTTTTCTGTTGTTACTGCACATTGAGAATCTATTGAGAATTCATTAGTTTACTGGTCATTTGCACACATCTACCCCATTTGTAAATATTTTATGTTTCCTTCATAGACTTGTTTCATCATGTAAAACATTTGTTGAGATGATTTGCTGTCTAGAAATCCATGTGAATAAAAATATAGCTATTATCACTATGTAATAGTTGCAATAGACTGCATTAAGACAAGTTATTGCATAACTAAGAGTTCCTGTCTGTTTGTCAATTAAAATTCATGATACATATTTTAACCAGGGAGAGTGAAAGAATAAGCTACTTTGAAGAAGTATATTCTTTATTGAGAAATTAATGGTTACGATAGGAATGAATAACTTGTGTGATGACCTCTATGAGGTTCAAATATCTTAAATTTTTTTTTGTATTAATAGAATTTTTATCTTCTCCAATAAATCTATGTATGATAAAATAAATAATCTCGTAAGTGACTCCAATCGCTGAACATTTTAAAATTTCACACACAAAAAAGATGTTTATCTTCAAACAAGAAACCTACTGATGAAAAATCAAAACAGGGTTCTGTGAAATTATATGTTGTACATGTGACCACAAATCACAATAACATGCCAATGTGGTACAATTAATCTGTGTTCTGAGGTATTCAATTTTGTTTTATGGTCGGTGAAAATGTGAACAGTGGCCATCTTATGAAACGAGATTTATATATATTGAAATATACCTCTTGAAGTTAGTTGATGTGATTGAAATGGAGAAAGTTCTATATTAAAAAGTATTTTTTTCACATTTGTTCTTTGTGCTGTATATTGGCAATGTGTGTGAATCATTAACAACTTAAATAAGCCTGTTCCAATAAATGTTTGCATTATTTAAATACTTTTGAACGAGAGTACAGTAAAATAATTGCAAATATTAATTCTCTCATTTGGACATAAACTTTTTTCAGATACATCGTATATGATTTCTTGTAGGGTATGAAACCATAGAGGCCCTTCCACATATGAAGTAAACCATGGAATTTGTTTGTAATAAAGATTAAAATGTAATACGCTTAATATTTCTGTATCTCACAACACAAAGCTCAGTGAATACAGGTAGTACCTTTGTCAGTTGCCGTTCATTTACATGTTGAAATAAACTGCAGCAGTTTACTATTTCATATCTGAGTGAGCTGTAACTTGTCACAGTTGAAAACTGCCAATACAATTAATATATTTCTTCATATGAAAACTGTTCAAGCGAACCCACGCAAATGTAACAATTAATTTTGTATCTTTACTGCACTTTCCATATTTTGAATATGTATGTATATGATTTGTTGTTCTAATGCAATACATTACTAGTTTTTCTTGGATGAGTTGTTTGTCTATTTATTAACAAAATGGTGTAGTAATATAACTTGTACCGTATTGTTCAATCAATAGTTAGTCATATGTTAATATCACAAATATTTTATGTACATTTTGCCACTAAAAGTTCAATAAATTCATGTATACTATAACTATTAGCTGCAGCCTTTCAGATAATTTATGAGTTGTTGGGTTTGAATGTCGAATAATCTTTGTCTTTGTTCTCATGTTTCAAAGAATTTGAATCAGTTTGGTGGTTTTGATCGCTGGATGATTGTGCTGCGGTAATAAAACGAGAAATATTGCCTTTCATTAAACAATGTGATCATGGTCCTTTTGTCAGTTTTCTTAATTACCGTAGAGTATTAAAAAGAAGTACTTTTTCTTATTTAACCTTTACACACTATCAATATAATCACCATCAACTACAAGAAATTCAAGTTTTTCAATATGAAATGAATCATTTATTTAAAAATGAGAAAATTATATTTACAATACAATTTTAACAGACAAGAAAACATGTACATGATTTTCAGTATGTGATGCAGTATCCTTTCTTAGTAAACAGCTGATCTGGTTTAGTTACCGGTACTAAAAGTATCAAGGGTGTAGTTAGAATTCTTTCGCAACATTTCATGATAATTCAGATTTATGATTCAAAAGAGATTGTAAAATGGACACAAGAACTGCTTCTCTGGTAAAGAGAATAGGCCATGTTGCCAATTGAACCAACTAATAAACATTGACATCAATAAGCCAGTTCATGGTTGCAGTCTGAGCATGAGCAGATAAAGGTCATTGCAGACCAAATTGTGAAATACACAGAGAAAAAAATACTGGATACGTGCTCATGAAACTTATGTAATCATTCATTCATGCACAAGCAGTGCACTCCATGATACACAGGTGGAAGTATTCTTTGAAAAAGGGGAAACAAAGGCTATTTATGTAGCACCTCCATCGCTGTGGGAGTGATTATATCAAAATGTACAAAGTGGGACCTCTTCATGTTTTGAAGATCTGTGGATATTCGGGGTCATTGCAGAGATGTACAAAACCGTGAACTGGTCTATTAGAGACAAACTGCATTGCTAATTTGATGTGATATATTACTTAATGGAAACAGATGAATTTGAGTTTTAAGAACCAATAGGTAATTGTTTTCTTTTTCCATGGGATTTTTTTTATAGATAGAAGATAAATACATGAAATATTGTATCAGTTTGAAATTTTATTTATAAATTGAGAGCGAAAGATGAATAACACGATATGAGATGGAGAGAGGAAAAAAGAGAGAATGGGTGGAGCGTGTAGAATCAGTAAATGGTTGGATCGACTGGGCCTCCAAAAAGCATTGTCCAGGAGGCAGGAGGTCTCCACATGGCTTTCCATGGCGGCGTACCAGCAGGGAGCTTGGTGGGCTCCTGGTGGAGAATAAACAGAGGTATGAAAGAATTACCACAAAAGGATATTACAGGACAGGATACAAATATTTGTGTGATATGTGTTGACATAATTTAATGAGTAATTTGGGGCACTGTGACAGTAAATTGGTGAGTCTATTTCAAAGCAAAGCTTGCATTTTGTAGACCTCTCACTAATATATCTGCTTTATGATTACTCTGGATAAGTATAAATAATAGAAAGAAAGAGAGAGAAAGAGAGAGAAGAGAGAGAGAGAGAGAGAGAGAGAGAGAGAGAGAGAGAGAGAGAAAGGGGAGAATGGGGGAGGAATTGGAGAAAAGGAGACAGAGAATGATAGCAATACACATATATATACATGTATTGAGAAAGAGAGAGGGAGGGGGAGGGGAGGGGGCGGTCATGTTACAACACGATTCACTCTCGTGCATTTCTTTTGAAAATCTCAAATAGTACAATTTGCTGTATGGTTCATGTTAAACATCAATTAAGAGCTGCTCATCATGTTGAGAAAATCTACAATATCACACATTGGGAGCTAGAAGGGCAATTATTGTGTGTTAAATGATAGGGGCGAACACCATTCTGACTCAGAACTTTTGGTGACAGCATTATCATTATTTGATTCTGCATGATAAAAAGTATTAACTTACTGGAATGAGATGAAGAAGGGCATTGGTGAATGAAGCCATCATCATCGCGTGGGGTGTGTTGTCTCCTTCTGCACAGAATAGGAGTAACACAGCCATAGGTACATCCTCCTTACAGCTTTGAGTGGAGAATAAGAACACATGGACATCATGAAATGGATGTTCAAATATCCAGCTTACAGAAATACAAGATATATTTATGCAATAAAGTAGTATCTTTAGTATCTTAAAGTTGTGTCATACATTTTAAGGAAAAAGATAGAGCAGACTCAGTTGTAAATTCTATATAAGAACTAGCTATTATGTTGATTTAAGATTATAATAGTCCTATTAAGTTTATAAATTTAAAGCAAATTTCATGTGTTGTATTTTCCAGTTCTTTATTGCAAACTTATAAAACCAACATGAAATCTGTCATTCTAGTTTTACTGACAGAATAAAGAGATGTCCTTTTCACAATAAAGCGATTTTGATAACCAATTATTCTAACAAAAAGTATGCTATATTATTCTAATTAAATGAAAGCATATATCAATATTGAGGATATATGGTAAGTATGTCATTAAGATAAATAATAAAGAGTTAATTCTTTATTTACCAATCAATAAAGAGCTTTTTAGCAATGCCTCCTCCAGAAAGACGGATGTCTCGTGCTGCCTCTGGAATGTCATCCGGTTGCCTAGGCAACTCCAAACCCTCCTCTGCAGGTTTCTTCTCCAGCTGAGGATACTTGAGGAGGTTTGACACAAACTCATCTTTCTTTGCCTCTAGGGATGGCGTCATGAGATACCTACATGTGTTGCTGTTCAAGGTAGAGGCACAAAATAAACTTTTAATATTTAAAAAGTTAGAAAAAATAAAATGATGACTCCAGTTCGTTATAACATTTTTTAAACATTATGTGAGAAGAATAAAGAATGTACAAAATACAACAATAATATATTCAGTTAATATGATCGTTCATCAAAACAGTGCAGGATAATGAACATTCAACAGTCCTTACATGGTGCACAAGTGAGGGGGTAATGCACACGCTGGGACTTTACACCTTGGCCGCACTGACTGGAGCAAATAAGCACATGAGTGCCATTTATAATGTGAGTGTGTCTGCATGACTTCAGGCATATTAATTAGTAGTTTGCAGGCACTACTGCTTATCTGTTATAAAGAGTAACCAGAGAGTATGAAGTGTGAGACTAAGTAGACTGTATGCTTTACTGCACTCCATAGGCCCTGTACTACAGCTGCTTCTGATGCTGCTTATAAGGCACAGTCAGAGGCTGACAGAGTTAGGTTATTCTCAAGGCTTTATGGAATAGACCAGTTTACTACCTTAAACAATTTTGTATGCATACTTTTAAAAGAAACATCCATACATTTGAATATGTTAGTAAACCGGTCTATGGCCTATTAGTGTACAAAATAGAGCATGTTTCTGGAGACTAGATCAATGCAGGGACTCGGATGGCATCTTCAGGTTGTAATTGACTTACCTCTGAATGATAGCATCTGTTTTCTCGTAAGCAAAACAAGATGTGATCAAAATGACCCTAGAGAAGCCTTTCTCTTTGATCCACTCTATCAGCTTTCTCCTAAACTCACCAGCTCTCCCCTATAGGATTAAAAATGAAATGTTTACAAGGAAAGTCAATTAAGAATTGTGAAAAGTCAAGACAAAGTGAAAAAAATAATCAGGAATTTTTGTGTAAATCAGAGAATGGAAATATCTCAAACATGTGCATAATCACAATCTAATAATGGCAGGATAATTTGGGGGCATTTAAAAGCAAGAGGGGAACAGTTGAGTTTTTGTGTGATATACAGGTACTGTAGTCACAACATTAAAGCATACTTTGCATTGCATTGTACACCATATCAGGAGTAGCCAGTCCGATGCAGTGTATCATGTTTCATAAATCATATATCTTCAAGAAAAATAGTCTGAATATTTACCTGTACAAGAGCAGCCCTCTGTTGGATCACAACTATTTTCTTTTCCTGTGACTCAAAAACTAAAAATTGAAAAAAAGATGGAAAAAGCTTAACCAAGGTCAGATGTAAGACAATATCTAGATGATCGAAGTACAATCAGGAAATTCAATTAATCATATTATTGGATACATGCTAATTTACATGAATTTTTGTGAATGTGAAATACAAGATTGGCATGATAGTTTGAAAGATCAAGCAGGCGGGTAGATCTATCGAACTAGTTAACAATGAAAATCCATGGCAAAACATTAACTATACAAACTATCCATACATCAATATTTTGTATCAAAATAAATGATGTGCATACCGTACAGACTTTTCTACTTGTAATAGAATGCAGGTTAAAAAAAATATCATGAACTCATCAATACCCAAGACAAGATGGTAGTACAGGGAGACTTGATACAGTAGGCCTATACAATATTTGGATAAAAGTTATGATGGGTCGGGTGATATACCTTCAGCACTAGTGACCAATTTTCCAGCTGCAATTCCTGTAGAATGGAATGCATCATTTCCACAGAGAGGTTGTAGAGACTGGTCTGAGAAACAACCCATCTTTGTTAGCTTGAGAGTGTTGATAAGTAGGTCACAGGTCAGTTGTCCTATATTCCCTACTGAAACAGCAGGCTGAAAAAGAGAACAAATATAGAAATAGACTATAGGAAATATATACAGATAGAAAAATTGAAGGTAAGAAATCATGTTTAGGTCCAGTGGCACTGAAATGTGAAATGCATAAAAATAATTCTTAATCAGTTAGATCTAGATCTAGTCCTAGACCCTAGACTAATTAACAATAAGTCAACAGCATTTTTATAAATAGAAAATCAATAGTTAATCCCCTCTTATTATGAGTAGACTCTATGTCAAGGTTTATCATCCATGTATGGGAAAGGATTAACAATTTTTTTTTCATGATTTCCCCATAATACCAGACGGTTAAATATTTCTGTCTAGTATAGTCCATGTGCTGATCGCCTCAATGTCACGATTGCTGAATCATGACAAAACACCACTCACGCACTACACACACCATTTGCAATAGACGGGACAGCACTCAGTCAGCTATCAAAACAGATTGGGAGATAGAGGAGAAATGTGCAGCATATCTGGCTACGCTTAACAAAAAGTTTGATGACATGCAGAGCAATTTAGACCAGAAAGCAGACAAAACATCGATGGAAAAATTATCTGCTGATGTGATGGCTACACAGAAGGTAGTTGAAGGTGTAAATGCAGACATAGTCAAACTATCTGATAGGATCGAGTTGATGCATAAAGAACCTGAAGAGATTGAAAAAAGAAAGAAAAATATCCTAATCAAGGGATTACCTGAATGCAGGAAATCTATCGCAGACGATGCACGGCACCAAGATAAGGATATAGAGCTAGATGATACAGTGGACATGTCAAATGAAGAAATTTGTGACCAGCTCTTCAACAGTATGGATATCAATGTAACTCCAAAGTCTGTTCATAGATTAGGTAAAAAGAAGCTAGATGGAAAGCCACGCCCAATTAAGGTTGTACTTGAGAATGAAGAGGATAAGAAGCTTCTGTTGAGAGGTGGTCCTAAAGTAAGAAGAGTTAATCCTGAAGGGGTTAGCTTTAACCCTTCCAAGGTCTTCATAAGTCCAGATATGACTATTCTACAGCGAGAAGAGGACTTCAAGTGCGTGAGGAGCTACGTAGGAAAAGGATAAGTGACCCAAACTGGATAATAAGGGGAAAAAAGCTCTTCTTAAAGACTCAGGTACCACCTCGAGATCTTCCACCAGACAGAGTAGGAAGTTCAGGGGAAAGGAGTTAGTTAGTAAGAAGAAGGAATCTGCACCGCACCCAAGCACCGACAACACTTTTATTTTCGAAGGAGAACATGGAAGTACATGTACTACTCCCCAGGTTGGATCGAACCGCACTTACTGCACAAGCACAAGCACATCTCAAATTCGTAAAGGAAAAGAATTCAATCCACTCAAGGTTGTACACATGAATGCTTTTAGCATCAAGAACAAATATGTTGAACTTCAAGATTTCTTATATGAAAATGACATTGACATCTGCGCCATAACAGAAACATGGTTAGATAATTCAGTGAGCAGTAATGAATTTACACCTGAGGACTATGTATGTTTTCGCCAAGACCGCAGCCTTGATTTTTACAATGAAGGTACCTACACAGAGGTTGGAAGAGGAGGGGCACTACTTCTTGTGAGAAGGAACTTAAATCCCACACCATATTCGAGAGGAGATACTGATGCGGAAGTGGTTTGGTGCACAGCGCATCCAAACCCAAAGACAGAATTATTGATTGGAGTAGTTTACAGGCCTGAGCGTGGTGGTGAACCGTACTTGGAGAAAGTCTGTAATTCAATTTCAAGAATCGACACAGACAATGTGATATTACTCGGAGACTTTAACTTTAGAGACATCGATTGGGATAAAGGAGAAGCGCATACTGCCCTTTCTCGGAAATTCCTTTCATGTATTGAGGAGAACATGCTGTTCCAGTTAGTGAAGGATCCAACTAGAGGTCAAAATATCCTCGACCTAGCTTTTACCGGAAACCTAGATATCGTTCACTCTGTAACTGTTGGAGACAAATTGGGATCTAGTGATCACAATAGTGTGCTATTGGAACTAAGGATACCTGTACCTCGTATTGCATTGACAGAACGCAAGATTTATTTGTACTCCAAGGGAGACTACTCGGCATTATCCAACGAAGTTAAATCTGTTGACTGGGTGAAGGAATTTGCATCTAGGAGTATGAACGAAAGATGGGAGTTACTCAAATCCAAGTATAGTGAATGGATTGACAAATACATTCCGATTAAAACTGTGAAGTCGGGTCAACGCCACAAACCTCCATGGATTAACTTCAGATCAGTCAGAAGAGCAAAGAAATCCAGGAGGGGAGCAGCTGTTCAAGCAAGGAAGACTGGACTTAACGCCCATAAGGAACAGTATCTTCAAAAGAAACTTCATACTGAGGAAGTAATACGCCAAGCCAAAGTAGACTATGAATCGTCTCTTATCAACCAGATTAAAACTGAACCAAAGAAGTTTTATAACTATGCGAGGCACTTCTCTAGATCTTCTGCTACAATTGAGGTTCTTGAACACGATGGAGTAAAGATAACAGATGACCAGAACAAAGCAGAGATTCTGAACGAGTTTTTTGCAAGTGTACTGAAACCTGAACCACTTGAACTTAATCTCAATCTACCTCTTCCCGAGATATCACATGACAACATTGTATATGACATTGAGATTTCCCCTTCCAGAGTTAGAGAAAAGCTTTCCAAGCTTCACATCAACAAGGCCTGTGGTCCTGATGGGATACATGTAAACGTGCTAAGGAATGTTCCTGATTTGGATGTACCTCTTGGTATTTTATTTGATCAATCTATCCAAACCGGACAGATACCCCAAGAATGGAAGGACGCAAATATCACTCCACTCTTCAAGAAGGGATCCAGGTTGTCTCCAAACAACTATAGACCAGTCTCCCTTACCAGTCAAGTGGTAAAGCTTCTTGAGAGAATTATCTACGACAAACTGATGGAACATGCAGTAGACAATGATATGATTTCATGTCACCAGCACGGCTTCCAGAAGAAGTGTTCATGTGTGACACAACTCTTAGAGTGTCTTTATGACTGGACGAAAGCATACGATGAAGCGAAAGGAATGGATGTCATATACCTTGATTTTCGAAAGGCATTCGATACCGTCCCCCATCGTCGACTGTTATACAAGCTTAAGCACAATGGTATCCGTGGACATATTCTCAATTGGATTGAGGGGTTCCTAACTGGACGCAGACAAAGAGTAGTGCTAAGGAACGGCACCTCAAGATGGAGGTCGGTGACAAGCGGCGTGCCGCAAGGGTCTATTCTCGGGCCGCTCCTCTTTCTAATCTTCGTAAATGACATTCCCGATATGGTTCTCACTACTGCTAAGATGTTTGCTGATGATACCAAGATTTACCGCCAAATAACATCGAAAGATGATTGTGACATACTACAGAGAGACTTAAATGCACTCGCTGCATGGTCTAAACTATGGCTACTTGAATTCAATGCTGAAAAATGTGTTGTCCTGCGCATCCGAGCAGCTATTAACTACAATTATTCTATCAATGGTGTTCATCTGCAGGAAGTGACAAACCAAAAGGACTTGGGAGTTATAATTAGCAATACCCTCACCCCTAACGAACATGTTGATGAACTAGTTAAAAAGGCTCGCTGTAAGATTGCAATGTTCCGACGCTGTTTCACTGCACTGGATGAAAGGAAAATCACCATTTTGTACCAATCCATAATTCGTCCAGCGCTGGAATATGCATCATCTGCTTGGAGCCCACTTACAAAGAAGAATATTGAGAAGTTAGAGAAGGTGCAGACCAAATGCCTACGTCTTGGTAACAAGGAAATTCCTATTGAGACATTGAAGGAGAGAAGAGCAAGAACAGACCTTATCAATTTGTACAAATACCTTAATGGCTATTACACAACTCCAGCACAAAGATTCTTCTCCCACCCAAATAAGGAATTAAGAGGGCATTCTAGAAAAGTGTTCCAAAGACGTTCCAGAACTCAACTGACTGGCCACTTTTATACTAACAGAGTGGTCCAACCTTGGAACAACCTACCAGAAAAAGTAGTGTCTGCACCTACAGTGGCGACTTTTAAAAGTCAACTGAGAGCCCTTCCCTTAGGAAAAGAGGGCTAATCTACCAAGTATACCAAGCAAGTAAGTAAGTAGAACTGTGGTTCATAATTATCATTCTCACGGACAACGACCGCCCGCTTGTTATCATATTAATGGTCACTTTAAGAATTCTACTCACCATAATCAGACTGAATCCTGTCCAGTTTGGACATTCTGGAACTCCAACTGAATTGAAATACATTTTCTAGATCAAAATCTCGTGATTTTCTAAAACTAAAAGGACAATTTTCTTTTCTGATTTGTTTCTACACCACATGCACACCGTAGTTTTATTTGTCTATAAAAAAATTAAAGAGCGGACTCAAGTTCGTGAGAGCGGATGAGTCGAGGATACAGAACTCAAAAGCCAACACCAAAGCCAAGGAAAATCAAAACCCCACTACTTTTTCCGAATTTGATTGATACTATTTTCTAGGAATAGGATGGCTGAATTAGATATCGGGAAGCACTGCAGCATTAATTCATGTAATCGGCTTGGTAAGTCATAACTCCAGGTAACTCCAGGAAGCTCCGACGCCGACGGCATCGGCGTCGGAGCTCCCTGGAGTTAGGTAAGACAGTGGCTTGCAATGCCAATACTCCTTTATTAATAATATTGTTAACCATACCATGTTAACAAATTTTAATAATAGCTCTGAATACTTATGATAAGCATATTTATCTATTTCTGTCTCTTTCGTTCGTTACAGTCTCTGACAAGTGACAGGGGCGGATCCAGCCGGCGGCAGGGAGAGGGTCCAATTTGCGAGAAAATATTTAGCAGCGAAACAGCCGGCTGATAATTTGCTCAGTGGGGGGAGCTCAATTTAGTTTTTGCTCCCGAAAATTTGAAAGTCGCGCCGGCCGATAATTTGCACCCCCCCCCCCCCCCCCTTGAGTGCCAGGGGAGGGGGCCCATCTCTAAAAAAAAGGTAAAATTAACGTGTTTTTACACATTTTTTTACCCCAGGGGAAGGCCCCCTCCCCCCCCCCCCTTGGATCCGCCACTGGCCTCTGATATAGCTGATTTGGGTAGGGTTAGCTCCTCTCTTTAGAGAGGAGCCGACTCTACCAAGAGGAGCCGACCCTCCCTAAATCAGAGGCTAACGAACGAAAAAGACAGAAATTTTTGGTCTTTGACTGTGTATGTCGTAAATATAGATTAACCGAATGTAAGCATTAGAATAAAACAAAGTCAAGGCCAAAGTAATGCAAGTATTATAATTTGTATTGTTAAAATTATCTGATGTCGTTCTTATACAGGGTGTATATATATATATATATATATATATATATATTATTAATGTTTATTCAACATTAAACTAAAAGAGTACAGATTAATCACATTTTGACACTGCCTACCATAAAACATTAAACATGATTATAGGACATGAAAACTAAGAAATTACTTTATATTGTCATACCGTAAGTAGACTCTACATAATTATGATAAGTGGCCTGTAATTATTTGATCATTGTATTTTAATCAATGTTTATTCTACTTATACTATGAACAAATAATGAACCCTTACTCTTAGTTTGTTAATTACTGAGTATATTGCTGTACACAGATGTAGTAGTACTAGTAGTCTTTCCTTTCATTTCTAATGCACTAGCTATACTGATAGGCATATCTTTATTGTTATGTAGAACACAAGTCTCACCCTGGCCAAGTTCATTTGTTTAATCATTTATATACCAGTGGATCTATACTGATTTCAACGGACCGGAAGTTCATTAATTTGACATCCTGACCGTTGATTGTGTGTATAACAATAGAGCCTCTAGGCTTACATGTACTTCTGCACTGTTTCCTGTATGCAATACCAGCTGAAAGTCTTTGTGATAGCTAGACTTAACAATAACATGCACGAGTGGGGCAAAGAGAGAGAGAGAGAGAGAGAGAGAGGGAGGGGGGGGGGGGGGGGTCTAAGCTAACCTGGCACTAGGGACAAGTCAGCCACAGTGGAAGATCACTTAAAGGGGAAGTCCACCCTGAAATTAAGTTAGTTTTAATAGGAGTAGAAAAATGAGAGAAACAAGTCAGTGAAAGTTTGAGCAAATTCCGATTAAAAATAAGGAAGTTAGGATTTTTGAAGTTGTGATCAATCAAACACAAATTGGCAACTCTATGACGTATCATGCGAGCTCAACTTCCATTTGCTCAGTACTAAAAAAATCTAAAATTTTCATTTTCCCTCAAGAAAAATTTCAACCATACATGCACCCTAAATATAATAATTGCAAATATGTTTCTATACTCCCCCTGCAAGGAACAAATATATATTCCGTCATCAATAACGAAGAAAACATGATTTTATGGAATATTATGCACAAAGCAAATGAAGGAGAGCTCGTATAATAAGTCACAGAGTTGCCAATTTGTATTTGATTGATCACAACTTCAATAATTCATAACTTTCTTATTTTCATTCAGAATTTGCTCAAACTTTCACTCACCTGATTTTCTTATTATTCTGCCTCTATCGAAACAAACTTATTTTGGGGGTGGACTTTCCCTTTAAAATATCCATCTCTCCTGGATGCCCCAAATTTCTTGAGACTTCAGTGATAGGGCTTTTTATTACGTTTGATGGTTGATTAATCCATTCTGATATGTAAAAACATTTATTTTCAAGCTCTGCTATTTTTTCATCTCTTCCAGATTTTCTGCCTTTTGTCTGCACAGGATGTGCAGGTGTTTTCTGGTGAGTGCAAAGTCACTGCAAGCATATTCATGTTAATTTTTGTTATCTAAAAAAATACTAAAAGAGAGAGACCATCCTGACCTGACAAAGTTAGTTTGGATAACAGTTGATAGATGAGAGGAACAGATTTCTAAAACTTAAGATGAAGGATAAAAGTGTGTGAAGTTTCAAGTTAAAATTGTGCTCCATGAAATGCATATTTTCAATTCTGCAATTTTTTTAATTATTGGGTGTATGATTTTGAATGTGACAGAGAGAACTGCTTGAAAATTAATGTTTGGTCAATCACCAATTTAAGAAGGAATAATATTCTTATCCAGTTTCAGTTTCTTATTAAACTTTAATTGATTTCCCCCTCATTTTCTGCCTTTGGTGACAGAATATCAACTTCATGGAAGGGTTTACCTCCCCTGAAGGTGGAATGGAATAGTACAACATAATAGAAGAACCCAGAGAAAAGGAAGAACCAATAGATAGTATGGAAGGATGATCATGAGGTGTTCTGAATATAAATGAGAACTAAACAATAGAACCATGTGAAGTGGAAATAGAATGGAAATGGTAGCATGAGGGGTGGAAATTGAATAGAAGAAAGAATGTGTGGCAATGGCAATGAGAGTGATGTGTGAAGGTGGAGAGGAGAATGGAGGTCATGAGCTGAAATGTAAATAAGATGCAAATCATAGAGTATGGAAAGCAGAATATAAGAATCCATCTAAGGTAAACTCAGTATTAAATGCTACAAAATATAACTTTCACAATAGTTATTATTTTGTATACTTTTCATATGTATGGTTTATCTCTTTCTCATTTTCAGTTTAGAACACAAGAGTAAAGATGGACACAATTGCAGTGAGGCACATGTAAGTAAAACCTTTAAAGCCTATCTGCAGTAGTTTGGCCGGGAGGGATTAGACCTCCTTGGTGGTCACTATATAGCTATAAGTAGTGCAGTCTCTGCTTTAAGTATTTGTAATGGGACATGTAGAATTTTGGCAAAACTTTGTAACAAAATCACCTTCATAGTGACATGAACAGTAAGAACATAATGATAAAGAAATGATTTGATAGCAAGGAAAGGAGGAATATGCCATTTTCGTAATGTAACCAAATTTAATGCATAGGTCTTTGCAAAGTGCCTCAATATAAATCATTTCATTCACCTGATAAGAACAATAGTATTTCAATAGTCAGCATGCAAACTGCATACATTAGTTGTTGCCAGGTAGGTCAAGCCATAATGTTTGTCCTACCTGGCAACAACTAATGTATGAAATTTGAATTCTGTCTATTGAAATACTATTATTCTTATCAGGTGAATGAAATAATTTGTATTCAGGTACTTCACAAAGACGTATGCATTAAATTTGGTTACATTACGAAATTGGCCTATATCAATGAGCCACTCTTTAGAGATACTATCTATGCATGAGTAGATGAAGGCATTCTGTACAAAACTGTAAAAGCCATTTGCACAGATGGTACATTCTTTGATACCCAGGTGGAAGCATTCTTTTCACGAGGGCAAACAAAAGGTATTCATAAAGATCTGTGGATATAATTTGTAAATATACTATCTCTATTCTCCAAACTGGTCTATTGAGTTGCTTGTGACTTGTGTATGATTCTTGTTTCTGTAATTAATTGTACTGAAATTGAGAAAAATATATAAATGAAATGCTTTCTCTCTATTCTTTATTCATATCCAGAGCATTGCGAATCCTGTGAAAGAGAATGGTGAATACGTTGCTCCTGTCATCTATACTTGTGCATTAACAGGATGTAAGAGAACGGAAGTTGTACCCGTCACCTGTGAGCATTGTCATAAAAACTTCTGTCTTGGGTAAGATAGCAGTCCTCTGATAAAAGTCATATTATTTCTATTCTTGGAAAAACAGTCACACATTTTATAGAGCCTTCTGTTAAACAGTGTACAGGTATACCTTGGCTGATCTGTAACAAAATAAACATTTTTAGTTATGGTATACAGAAAATGGCTCACTTGGTAAAAAGGTAAGTCTTTTGTCTTCAAATGGATTTCAATAGTCAGGCACTATGAACATGACGGACAAAGAAAGAGGACAAAATATACAGTTCCTCAGGTAGACACAGGAACATCCCTTCACTGCTATTATGTAAAAATGTGTCACATGCAAATTCACCTGTTTTACACATTTTTACATAATAGCAGTGAAGGGATGTTCCTTTGTCTACCTGAGGAACTGTATATTTTGTTCTCTTTCTTTGTCCCTCACGTTCATAGTGAGAATACAAACTGTATATATGAAGTGTTGCTTTATGTAGGTCAAGCCATAATGTGTTTCCTACCTGGCAACAACTAATGTATGCAGTTCGGATTATGTCTATTGAAATACTATTACCGTACTCTTATCAGGGGAATGAAATAATAAGGCACTTCACAAAGACTTATGCATTAAATTTGGTTACATTTAAAAAATGGCCTATTAAGGCTATGTCAGTCTATCCATGGTACATGAGCAGAAATAGGTCATTTGCACAAAATGGTAAAAGCCCATTGAGATGAATGCTAGATATGTGTTGATGAAAGTTATGTAATCATTATTCATTTATGCACCGACCATACATTCCTTGATACACAGGTGGAAGAATTCTTTTCATGAGGGCAAACAAAAGGTTTTCATGAATCACCTCCATCACTTTGGCAGTGATTATTCTAAAATGGAATGAAAATTCTGTGGATATTTGGGAGTTATTTGTACCTGTGCTATCTCCGATAAGGCACTAAGTATTCAAGGAATGTCTTCCTACCTCTTCTTAGATGGATGTGCATTTGAAAACATTTCTATTGTCCAGGTACATAAAGATGGGTTATTTTAGGGTGCTGCATAGAATCTGGAGAATCTGAACTAACAATTATAAACTACACAATCACATTCTCACAGCACAAAAGAGCCGTCACATTGAGCAATCCATCTTATTCAGTAGTAGCAGAACACGCCCTAAATACTTGACATAACATTGGATGGGATGATTGCCGCATTATTGACTTTGAAACACATTTCTGGTCAATAAAGTTGAAAGAATCCATCTGGATAAAATGGATTAATCCTTCACTGAATAGGGACTTTGGTATTTCACCGGCACCTATCTTCGCTTCAGTAATCTTGAGGCAGCAGAGAGGAGGAAACTGTGTGAATGATAACCACTTTGCTTGAGGAAGTTCACAGGAGAGGACGAAAGCTTGCCTACTCATTTCAACGTTGGTGGAAGCTTAAACTACATGTTACTCATTCTCATTAGGATGTTAATAGACCGAGGTTCTCATGTTTAATTCTTCGTTTGCAGACACAGACATCAAACAGATCACCAATGTACAGAATTACCTACTGATGGAAAGGCAGCTCCGATGGCAAAAACAGCTCAACTTGTTCAAGATATAAAAGGTATTGTACTCTCCTTAAACATGCTCATGGAAAGGTCTTAGATTATATAATATTTAAAAACTATTTTGAGGTTAATCTACGAGCATATAATCATTGATGAGAAGGTTTATTAGTATTTGGTTGTACTGTAAGGTCTTCCCTTGCATTAAGGGCTCGCTGGAAATGTTTTTATGATATTGATTCCAGTGAGCCTTAAACGGCTCCCATACAATCATGCGGAGAGCCATATAAACCAACCCTAAAATGTGTCCAAAATCCACCTTCCCACACCCGACCAATATTGGACAGTGGCCTCGATGAATTTTATGCCACTTCTACTCCTAATTACCTCCGGAAATTCAAAATCGGGGGTAAAAATAACGAAATAATAGCAAACATCTTACCAGAGCGATACAGCTTAGTTCCCTTTTCATGTGTAGCGTGTGACTTTACGATCTTTACACAATGGTGTTGACCTCTGACTGCCACTTAATGTAAATGTGCTGCTTCCGTATAATGCGCTGTATGAGTGTTATTCAGCGCATGATACGGCAGGAATAAACACATTTCCAGCGAACCCTTAAGGCTAGGTAGAGCAATGGTCTTGTAATCCTGTAATCCGGTGACCCGGGTTCGAAACCAAGTCGATGCGCTAGTGCCCTTTTGTAAGGCATTAATCCTCATTACCAGGTCCCTCGGAGAGGACCTAAAGCCGTCGGTTCTCTGGTTGCTTACTAACCAGTATTTATGCTTTCTTTAAATAGGTAAAATAACCACCACTAAAAAATGAATATATCAATTGTTTCAAAGATATTACAGGATTATTTTTAAAAGAAAGAAAAGTTTGTTTTTAGTGACACAACACATTGACACAATACAGTGACACAATATTCAAATGAAGAAGTGTCGAGATAAAGAGATATAATGAAGATTGAAAAATATTGTTTTCATTTATTTGAAGGCATTCCTTTGAAGTTGATATGATCGGTATGTGATTGCAAGGTATAAAGAGAACTTTAAAAAATAAATTAAACAATCTTTCTCATTGAATGCTATTAACCCTGCTATCTATATTTTTTGTATCAGATTCCAAAAAGACAACCGGAACTGGAGTAAAGACTAAAGGAAAGGGAGCTAAATCAGCCAAGATGGCTGCCAAGGTTGCCATGATGAAGATGAAGATGCATGCTCTAGGAGACTCCAGCATACCGCAGGTAAATGAAAAATCCTATTTTTCTCCCCAATGCAATGTAACCAAATGTAATGCATACATCTTTTTGAAGTGCCTCATACAAATTATTTTTTTCACCTGTTATGAATACTTGTATTTCAATAGTCAGAATGAAAGTGTATACATTAATTGTTGCTAGGTAGGACAAGCATGTCTTGTCCTACGTCACATCATGGAATATATGCAGTTCACATTACATAACAAAGATATATGCATTAAACTTGATTAAATTACAAAAAGGACTATACAATGACTGTTATGAATAATCGGGGCTACTTTATGCATGTACCAACTACAAATGAAGTAGTGTAATCAAGATATTTATACATACTTTTGATTAATTAGACTGAGCAGTAATTAAAATTTGGTTTACACTTTTTCTTTCTTCCAGAAAGAGCGAGTGTTCTTTCAAGTTCACCTTCCGAAAGGCCACTCCGAGAGCCACAAACCCATGTTCTTCTCAAACATGTGGAGTGTTGGTAAGACAGTGGATAGGATTGCTGCCCTCTTGAGGCTCAAAAATGAGAACAACATTGCCAGTGCAAAGGTGGGTGCAGGAATCTAGTCATCGGGATTTAGGAATGTCCCGTGTTACTATAGTGATATATGTGTGGACATATATGATAGAAGGAATGTGTAATATATAGTATCGTTAGTGACTAGGGATTGAAGAATTTTGTGTTGATAAGGTATGAATTTTACATAACCTTATTGCATTTTTTTTTTAAATCAATTGTTTGTACAGGTACATTGTAACATCAGACTTAGTTTAATTTGGGTTGAAGAGATTCTTTAAGCAACGGGAAAGACATAAAATGTTTATGATGTATGTGCACAGGTGCTAATGCTTGGTGGGATAGCGTTTGAACGTGTATAGATAGACATAGGCAGTGTGGGATAGGATTGAAGAGGGTTGAAAGATGGTAGATGGCTTGTCTCTGTATTTCTGTTTGGAATTAGATGAAACTAACTGAATTATACAGTCATACTCTGTGAAATACTCTGTGAAATTTGCTATGATTCAATAATTCTTTCATGTTTTGCCACATGCAGAAACTGAGACTATTCCATCCTGAAAGAGGGGATGTCTTCACAATGGATGCAAAGCTGGAGTCCCTCCTTGCCGATGATGCTGCCTCCCCCATCTACAGTGGAGGTGGAATCATCCTTGAATACGTAGAGAATGGCTGTACCTGCCTACCCAATGTTGCAGATTACCGAACATCATGACATTAACATCTGACTAGTCTGGTAAGGATACACTTCATACTTCTCTGAAAAATAATATTGTTATTGCTGGAGAGGATCCCTTTGCGAAATTTTCATAAATTTAGGCATGAATTATAGATATTTATGAGCAATGATCACTTGTTACTTTGTTTTCATGCTGATGATATGATGAGAGATAAAAGCAGCTTTCTGAATCTGGATAAATACAATGTTTCTCCAATGAACTTGTTGACAAAACATATGTCAATAGTTCTTTTGTTTTTTGTTAAAATACAATTACAGTTTACTGCCCCAAATTATGTAGCCAAAATTTGGCACAAAACAATCTTCGATAAAAATCATCCATGAAAACTTGTAGTTTGGTAACTGCTTTAAAGTATACTAATTACCTGAAATATTAATTTGTGTATACATGAACATGTAGCTAGAGTGAAAGATCATTCTATAGGTAAACAGTTGACCCCCACATGCTCCCATGTAATCTAAGTTTGACTTGGGTTCAGTGTGTGCGTGCCCTGTTCTATGCGAGTGCATGTCAACTAGTGATTGCCTGATACACTTTAATTATACAAGTTGGCACTTAGCACCCCTCTGACTCCAAACAGATGTTTGTACTTATTTTATATTAGACAATAATAGGTTTGTGGCTAGCATGTTATTCCCAGAATATTTTAATGCTCTAATCTTTTTTATTTCATTTACCTGTTACAAATAATTGTATCTTAATAGTCGGAATATGAATTGCGTACAGTATTTGTTGCTAGGTAGGACAAATATTATGGCTTGCCCTACCTAACAACACATAATATATGCAGTATGCATTCCGACTATTGAAATACAATTATTCTTACCCAGTGAATGAAATCAATTGTTTTGAGGCACTTCACAAAGACTATGCATTAAATTTTGATTCATTACAAAAATAGCCTATCGTGTGGAGAGTGCTGTGGGCATTTACATAGCTGAATAAGCGAGGGAACAAAATATTGTTGTATGATCCATGACTGAACTAGCCTTTGAAATAGATATAGCAAGCTTGTTGAGAACTACTCCTAGAGTGACAATGCATGATTTTCTTCCAATTGAGAATTGAACAGAATGTATTTAAGCTCACAAGTTATTTATACCCGTAGTACTGGTACTATTTTGTTGGTTTCCTTTGGCACCTCTGCTGTTGAAACAAGCCATATCCACCCACATAACTCCAAACAAACATTGAAGACATTGTTTATTAACATGTTTCATAAAGGTATTGTTTGACATTTCAAAGAGAAATCAAAACTTTTTGAAAATTCCAAAAGAGCTTTGGGTATTTCCAAGTAAATTGCCTTATTTTTATTGTACCACTTTCCCTTTAGTAACATATGTTCATCTTTGGATATATGTTAGGTGTCACCCTTGACCAAATATAGATGGTCTTAAAAATCTACCAAGTACATTTTATTTTGCTAAATTAAAAAAAAAGATTCTTCATGGATTTATCTCATTTTGGAATTAAACATAACTTTGTAGCTACTTTTTGTTATATTTCAAGATGAAATTTCAGAATGTGATATAGTGCATTTTATTCCCATGTAGGAAATACATGTAAGTATTTAAAGAAAAGGAAGAAAAAAAAAAAAAATGAAATCAGCTCCTTTTGGAACCAATCTCTTCATTATACTGATTGCCATAAGCTGAAGTTACATAAGAATGTTTCAATACAGATGATTACATCTAAAAGAGTTTTATTAATATTTTTTTATTTTCACCCAAAAAACACTGCAATTTATCTAAAAGAAATATTTCATTAATCTTTCTTTTAAACTTCGACTTTTTACTTGCATTTTTGTATTAATACTTTTAACTGTGGTTATTGTAGAACATTTGTAGTAGCAATATACAAATGAAAGCCTCTAGGAATATCAGGAAATGTATTAGTTCATTACTTTCTGTGAAAAAAATTATCTCCCCTAAAACGTTTTCCTAGCTTCTTTTTTTCATTTTGAGTGAGGCTGGATGATTTGAGCTATTTTAAAGTACCCCATTTGTAGAATTTTTGCTCAGGAAATATAATTTTCCATTAAAAATTATTTTCAGCTCACTTTAGCCAGAATTTATCAAGGACAATGATTTACAGTCTAACCAAAACAAAAATAAAAACCAGGTTCATTTTCGATCCAACAAATGGTGCAAGATGCCTAATTCGAGGGAACGATGGATGGATCTATTTTGGGTTAATTAGAAAGTACCTGTTCCTTCATACCCCAGCTGGGTACAAGAGGGTGATACTAAGGAAATTCCTACTTCCTTGTCGAGAGAGACATGTAATTGGGGAGAGGCAGTGAAGATGCTTGTCAGCTAGGTTTGAAATTCAGTGAGGCTTGTGTGTTTATAAATGAAAATGTGTCCATTCTCTTTTCCTCATCTCTATCTTTTTCTTTTCTTCGCCTTCATTTCTTTCATCTTTTTTCCATATTTTGAGAAAATCTTTTAAATTTGCCAAATTTTCAGTATTAAAAGTACCAAACTTAATTTTCCCCTAATTTGTGTAAACCTATTTGTACATTTTAGCCACTTGTAGTATTTCATGTCATTTGTAACAAATCGATAATTACATCTTTTAAAGATTAATTTTGAGAAAGGTCTATAAATTTCTTCCTACCGAGTGCAAAACTGCCAAAGGACTAACAAATGCTCCCTCGCACCCCACCAACCCTCCTGATCACCATGCAATGTAATTGCTCTAACCAGTCATCTCCCTGCTTTAACCCAACTTTGTCATCTTGAACAGAGGAAAATTTCTGTTCTCAGGAATCGTTGCTCCGTCATGCTTCTCTAGAAAATCCGTCATCACTCGAGAATCTGACAAGGATGACTGCAATCTTTATGTCCCATGCGGGCAATTATTTGTGGATCGCTCCATAATCGCTCCATCTATATTTAGATACACCTACAATGTTAACGAACTGTAAATGCTGATATTCTCAGCAAGAGGTTGCTCGTTATGAGACGTACTGTAGCTCTTGTTTTAACCAAGTTTCAGTTCTTCTCTTGGCAACTTTGATACATTGAAGAAAAGAGGTATTGCGGTATACACAGGCAGTGTAGTGAATTGACTCATATTGTGTACATTGTTTGGTTAAGGGCATTGTTGAACAATGCCAAATCTGAGATGCATGGCCCTACATGTTATCAGCGTCTGTGATATGATGTAATATTGAAGCAAAACTAAAACAAAACTGCGCTTCAAAATGATCATGAAGTGCCTCAAAAAGTATATAAAAAATTATTTGAATTCCAATCATAAATATCTTGATAATCAGATGGGCGATCGGCTTGTAAACGTTATGGGATTTATGATTGGCCTAAAGGCTAATAATTATGATTGCAGCATGGGCTAAATCCAGGATTTTATTTTAAATTTGAGACAATCCATTTATCCCAATCCCTTTAATTGAAAACAAAATGCATTTACCTGTACTGCTAGAGTGGATATTTACAATTAAATTCGATAATAATGAAATAAACCACAAATGTATAAATAACATCTTTACAAAGTTGTTGCAGTACTTTAATTGTTCATAGTTTGTCCTGAATAGGGTTCTAGAAAAATGGTGAATGTCAATAGTCTTTAAGGGGAAAAAAGTAAGAAATTTTGATTCTCTGTGAAAATGAGAATTTCTTTTTAGCAAGATGATCCATGTAAAAGAATTCTATTCATTGTGATTTTGCTTCCATTAACTTTAGAACTTTTCAACATGTATTTAAACAAAAAATTTAACAGTTTCCTTAGTTTGGTTTCTCTCTATACTGTCATGAGGTTTTCAGAAGATCATCATTTTGGTTTCATGAGAAAAAAAATTAAAGTAAATATTTTTCAACTAGGCAAGAGTGAGTTTATGACTTTATCTGTGGATGCACTGTACATACTGTAGTCATTTTTTTTCTTATAAGGGTAGGGGACAAGTTGAATCTTACATCCATCATATCCCCTTTACCTACAATATTCATACAATAAACCTAAGCTTTGAGGTCAGATAAGAAATTAACACTATGAATATGACCGACAAAGAAAGCGGACAAAATATACAGTTCCTCAGGTAGACAAAGGAACATCCCTTCACTGCTATTTTATAAAACTCTGTAGAACAGGTGAATATGCATGTGACACCTGTTCTAAACATTTTTACATAATAGCAGTGAAGGGATGTTCCTTTGTCTACCTGAGGAACTGTATATTTTGTCCGCTTTCTTTGTCGGTCATGTTCATAGTGTAAGCTTCATTGGAAATTGCTTCAGCTGTTAGATCTAGTCATATTAGAGAGATCATTTCTTTATGGTTCAGCTAAAAGAAATCAAATCCAAGTTGGGAGGAATTTCTGATCATTTTTCAGTCCACACATGTTCTCTGATGCAGGGTAATGAACTAGGATCTATATTAATGCATCGCCAGGTTTAGACAGGCAGTGATAGACAGTAAAAGTAGGTAAAAGTAGATCAAAGATGATGCAGAGAGAAATGGGGGGGGGGGGCAGGGAGAGGTTATACAAGTACATGTACAATAGTTTGAATAAGAAAGACTTGACTTGAACATTCACCAATGATTTTGCATTGCTAGAATCTCAGGACGATTGATAGATCATTAATAACAAATGTTTTGTACTTTTAGATATCTTTTTGTTTTTATCTCTTCCAGCAAAGTTCCCTTTTAATATTATGCATCATGATTGTTTTTATTGCAGCCTACAATAAAAATTCTTTTCAAGTTTTCCAAAATAGAAATGGTTCATCCTTCCAGTTTTAATTCTGTATGTTTAGGTTCTAAAGATGGATTTATTTAGAACTACCTTTAATTAACTGTTAACAATACTAAAAAGACTTTTAGTTCCTGGCCACATATTAGATTATTATTTGTACATGTATGAATGGTTTTGTGCTGACCATAAAGATTAGTAAATCTCTTGCTTTGGACAAAAGTACCTGCATGACCCTGCAATATCATGCAGTCCTAGTCAGACATTCCTAATGCTGGGAAAAGGAGAATTGCTAACTTTAACCAATTTTCTTAGTTCACGTTTGTTGACCTGTTCTATCCATATTATGGTATTTCTGAATTCAGATGATAGTTCGAAATTTCTACAAGTTTATCCTTTTTTCTGTTCCACAAGTGAGAAATGAAAGTTATTTTCTTTTGCAACATTTAACATGCCATTGAAGATCTACAGGTAAATTGTAATGAAGCATTCAAACTGGTTCTGTACCAATTTAATCTTGATGTGTGTCCAATTTGTTCACTGGCCTTTCTCTTTCTTTCTCTTTTCTTCAGCTTTCAACATCTCATGGATCGAATGACACGTTCATCAAAGAAAGAGCATTCCAAACCAATCTCAAGCTCAAAAGTTCTTCTCTCCGGCTTTCTCGTCTGTCCATCCGTCGGGTGTCATCCTGATGAAAGCCCTGGATTTACATCTTGGCTCGTGTTGGTGAGAAATAGTGTGCTTGAAGATCATGACAACGAAACTTGTTCAATTTCAAATATGTGGTGAGCCACTCTGATTGGTTCCTTCCTGACCCCCCAGGGAGACCATACACAGCATGGTTCTAATGAAATTAGTGTGCATTAATAGGATAAGTGTATTGACTCATGGTTCTGAGGTTGTGTTCATGCATTAACAATCTGAGTACAGAAATGCTGCATGCAGAAGAACTCAAAAATCCACTCATTTAATTTGTTGCTACACGAATATACTGTTTTATGATCATTACTACACGTTCTACTTATTTGGTTTTAAACGGGCAAGAATACAAGAGAAAATTAAAAAATGAATGTCTATCTTGTGGATTGCTAAATTGCATGCTTTGTATAATGGCAAACATTTGTTATTTTGAAATGTTATCCACAGCATTGGAATAATATTGAGTATGGATGTGAAATGAATACAAGGTATATAGAAAGCATGTGTTTTTACATGCATTTTCGTTTATTCGGCTCTGACCTTAGTGCGACTTTTTTCAGTTTCCTTATGAATAATGTAAAAGACAACATGGGTTTATAATTTCTGATTTTGAGTCCATTCATACCTTATTAGTATCTGCAAATATTTCCCCATATACATGTATATCACAGTAATAAAGACTGATACTAGCTAAATTACAAAAAAGAAAATTTAGAAATAAAATAGAAATAAGGTTTAATTTTTATTTCAAAATTTAAATTATTATTGCACACAAGTATTTTGAAAAATGTACTTTGAACCCGCAAAATTAGAGAAAGAGCCGTTGTAGCAAATATCTAATTTGAAATAAGAAAGTTATGAATTTTTAAAGCTTTAATCAAACAGAAATTACAAATACAGAAGTTTTGTAGGCGATTGATTTTTTTTCCTCAATACAAAGCAAATGGGAGAGGACCTCCCACATTTTTCATTTGACGTGAATATCGCATTTCAATGGATACTTAATAAGGAACCTGTACATAAAGACCCAATTTTTTTCTTTTCACTGTGTCCTCATATGATCAGATCAGTAGCCTTCTCAGCTGTAAAAACTGACTTTAAGCCATTGTCAACATGAAAGTCAGGATGTACAATTTTACTTTCTCTCTAGAGTGGTCTTTATATACATGTTTCCCTGTAATGAAGCAATAAGAGGACTCATTCTTACCATTTAGTGTAGCTGATAAGGTACAATCAAGGATAGTTGTGTATACATGCTAAAATCCTTTGTACCCTTGTCTGTTATTCTTTCTTACTATCATTCTTGACTGAACAAATTTCTTGACTGAACAAATTTCTTGACTGAACAAGCTTCCATCATGTCATAATTGATGAAATTTATATTGGTGACCTCAATTGTATCCAATATCAAAATTATAAATGATCGTGCAGGGTCAAAAACAACATTAATCTTAGGAAGGCTCCTTTGCATTCCAAACCTGCCCATAATGAATTTCTCTGCTCTAATATAAATCTGCTCGGCTAATATAAGCTTTCCTCTGTACGACACCAGTCTGTCCATACTGATTGATTTTCAGGAAGATAGCAATGTATCATATGAAGAGACCTGTAACCATGACCTGATGATTCCCGTCCTTGGTGTATGTTGACTGGTCACAAGTGCAAGATGGCCTCTTGCAATACCCAGGTGCTCCAAGCTTCCTTTACTTCTGTATTTGCAAGGCGTCTGTTGCTTGTTTTCTGCACAAGGACACTGGGGGAACACAAGCTTAGCAGTCACTTTAATAGTCAGGACATGATGGATAGGGTCTCATTTGTAAGGGCAGAATAGTACGATATCCTCTACTTGATTTTTTTCTCCTTGCACTCATAGAGTTAAAAACTTGCGTTTGTGGGCCCACCATAAAAAAGATACATGAGGTTTCATTATTCATTCGTAGAAATCCTCTTCATCGGACGAGTCCTTAAAGATTTCCCGTAGCTCTCGATCCGACGATACCTCGTCGCTGTCTTCCGAGGCGAGATCGTCCTTAGTCCCCTCGAGGTTGTTTAAGATGCTTGTCTTCAGGAAGGAGCGCCTCACCATTTCGGTTAGGATCGAGTCCCACATGTCGGCAATCCATCCACAGATGGTCGGCAGATCTACCTTGCTTGTCTGCCCCCTAAAGGCATCGAAAACCAGAAGACTCCGCTTTCTTTGAGTGCCGTCATCTTGTCGAGCCCAGACGCTTCACCCAGTCCTTGGTGATCTTCTCATCAAACCAGCCTTTCATCTCGATAGGATCTAGGCACATGACACACGCTGAAAAGATTCTCCTTTAGAATGTGAACTTTAGCAGGGTCTAGTGCCTGTCCTCTTTTACCGGACAGGCAGCCCTTCATCCTTTCTTCCTCAGAAAAGATTGCACTGGCAAGCTTCCTTGCTACAATCTTGATGTCGTCGGCGTTTAATCGGCACTGCGCCAACAGATCCTCTGTAATCCCACGTCCTTGTTCATTCATCGCTATTGGGCGGAGAGGGGGCCGGGTGACTAGACGATATGGGGTGCTGGTGCTGGAGCTTGAGTTGGTGCTTGAGGTTATGCTTGAGGTGATGCTGGTGCTTAGAGGTGTGGTAGGCAGTGAGTAGCCTCTCCATAGAAGAAACCTCCGCCATCTTCCTCTCGATGGTGGCCATCCTTGTCTCTAGGTGCGGCACTCACTCAGAGAGCTCCCTATTGTCAAGTTCTAGCTCCAAATTTCTCTCCATGATTCTAATGTTCTGCCTCGTTATGAACTGCTCCCCCACGTCTGCCGGCAGCTGGGGGTGGAGAGAGGGTACCGGTGGTCTATTGTATCCGCTCTGTCGTTCAGGAATCGGTAGTTGAGACATTTTTTTATTGTTTAGTCATGATTTTGTCATGTTTTTTCTTTTTTGTTGTTGGCGTTTTGCATATTCTTATTCTCTCTTGGAGGTTTGGTGGTCTTGAAAAAGCAGTCCCAAGTATTGAGGAAACTATTATTGTCTGACTGGTCACGTCTTACAAACGGCATACTATCTAGCTTATCTCACTTGGGTGCAATAAAAACTACTCTAACAAAATCCCTCTTATCCACCCCTTTAAGCATACCCTTTACAATCGCATCAAACATCACATTCACAAGAGGCATCATGTCAACTAATGGACCATTTTGGGCAACAGGCTAAAAAAATCACAACACAATGACCAGCAATAACATGGAATACAAGAAATCAAGACATGAAAATGAATGTACAATAGAACTGCATACATGTATAGACATTTATAAACATAAAAACACATTTATTTTGTCAACAATTTAGACTTAATGTGTTTCAATACATGTGCCTTTTTTAGAGTGTACTGAAAAATTTCCACCGCTTCAGCCACACAGTAATCTTGTTCGCATCAATACACCGTTATATACTACAACGATCAAAAATCCAAGAATTGTTGTTTTAGTTGTAACACTGCTCTATCGAATATTTATCAACCCGCTCCTGCCATACGGCAATCCCCATGATCCCTTTGAGCCGGATAGTCATTTTGGCATCCCTTGCACGTTTAAATGACAAGTCTGTTAATGCTGCTTGCTAAAGCTTTTTTTTAACCATTAGTACAGGACATACCGGTATGGAGTTTTACTTCTACGCTGTGCTCCTTCTCCCCCGTCTCCTCATCTACCATGTTGTTGCTCTCCTCCTCCTCCTCATGATCAATGACGAATATCTCTCCTTCTTCATATGAGAGGACACGCATAATATCACCTATAACACCCATTTCTCTATCCAGCTTAGGCTTTGCAGTATCGCGTACAGATGGCGCCATACAATTGCGCATTGGTGCTTGCTGGACGAGTTGTCATGACAATTTAGAAATGAAAAGAACATCATAAAATACATCAACGGTCTACCAGTTTGCCATGTAAGTCCACTGAGTAGTGGCTCAGTGAATCTGGTCCAGACATGGGCAATCCTTCTACATTTAGAGTTGATTGCATTCCTAGGTTCCACCTGGAACCTCTCAGTCATGCAGCCCGGGTAGTCCTGCCCCATCTGTGTGATGATCGCCTGAAACTGAACCTTCCAGGCTAGGGCCTAGGTGTATACAGTTTAAAGAGTGTGTTTTTCTTCATGTGCATTAATACTTTAACCCATCCCCCTACCCCCATAACAATGGAAATAATGATAATACTTGAAACAAATAACATGTCTATTACAACTTTTTGGAGTTCTCTTCTTTCACAAAGGCCCTGACATTGTCATTTATTTGAACAGCAGCAGCCATCAATTCCCACCAATTGTCTACTGTTAAATTAATACCCTTCAAACCTGGTAGCATGTTGTGACTCCCATTAAAAAACACACATAGGATAAAATCATCCAAGCTCAAGAATAGTTGCGCCTTTCCTGTATATTATTAATCTAACGAGTAATTAAAATTCAATAAATAAAAGTATTCAATGCACAAACCTGTAATTGTCTCGATTCCGATTATTTCGTTTTGAGATCTTTTGATGATTGCCATTGGTAGTATATCAAATTTTATCCCAAAATCCTTATCCAGTTGAATGCAGTTGCCTCCTTGTAACAGCAGTTCAATTGGAAAGCTATAAAAGAAATAATTATACATAAAGAAAATGAAAATGTTGATAATGTGCATACAAAATATTGAATGTACTGACACTTAACCTCTAAATAAGGTAACAATGTAAACCAGAATGTATAACTAAAGGCATCTGCAACATATTTGCTAATGATGTTGTAGTCTCTGATAATATTAAATATATTCATGAAAACGCTTTTCACCCAAATGGCAAGGTCATAACCCCCAACTCAAATTCATACTCTTTAAAACATCTTCCCTTCCAGTTTTTATGTACAACCCCTCCTTGGCCTAACAAATAAAATACACTAACATACACTCGACATTAATTACAATTCATAACAATAAATATAGCCAAGACAAAAATGGAAAAATGAAACATAATTACAATATATTACATTAAATGTAGCCAAGTTAAAAGAGAACTACAGAAAAATCATTTTATTCACGATTCAAATAAATACAAGTTATAATGTTTACACATCACTAATCTACATGTGACAAATGAAAAAAACATCACCAGGCTCTCAGTTTGACATGCAAGTTCACCGAGTAGGGGCTCAGTGAATCTGGTCCAGACATGGGCAATCCTCCTACATGTAGAGTTGATTGCATTCCTAAGTTCCACATGAAACCTCTCAGTAATGCATCCCTGGTAGTCCTGCCCCATCTGTGCAATTATAGCCTGGAACTCCACCCTCTGGACTAGGGCCTACTTCACGATGTGGGTAGTCCTGTTGAACACAGGCCTGCCATTGAAGTTGCTTCTTGCCAGCTCAGCGTCACTGAATGTCGCTGGAAGCATCTTCAGTACAAAGTCCTTAGGTGTACTGGACCCGAAAAATGCCCGCTCGTACACACCGCGGCTTAACACCCTTTCAAGCATATCCTTCACAATCTCATCAAACATTACATTCACAAGAGGCATCATGTCAACCAATGGACCATTTTGGGCGACTGGCTAAAGAAATCACCAGCAATAACATGCAATACAAGAAATCAAGACAGAAAAAATAAAAGCACAATAGAACCACATACATGTATAAACATTTATAAACTATGTTACATACAAACACATTTACATTGTCAACAATTTAGACTTGAC